TTATAGTTGCTTATCTTATCTGTTTTAATATGGCTTACAAATACATCTCTTTAATTGTTTTAAAACAAGACTCGTGATGTTTTGTGTGGGATCGCCGTTTCACTACGCGAAAAAAAAAAGAATCTTTATCGGCGATTGGGGAAATGCATAACACTAAATTGGTTTAGGAAACCTTTTCGGTAGGGCTTCGATTATTAGTTTATTTCAGCGAGTTTCTTGCATTAGAGTTAAAAATCTAGCTGAGGCGATCGTTTATTCGCCATATTTTAATTTTTGTACGCCGGGTTACTCTCTTTTGTTGAAGTTATATTAAAATGTTAGGTTAACTATGTTTTCCTTCGTTTGTGTTTATCGCATGGAAAATGCAGTTGGTATCACAACCTTCAAAGAAACATTTTGCGAAGCACACCTTTTAATTTAGAAAACAATGAACCCGATAAATCTTCATTTCCTTTAAGCCAAATGTTCCCTTAGGGATTTTACAGTAAAAGTTTTCCCTGTTAGGGTACTAACTTGTTTCTGAATTACATCTGACATGGAATTTAAAACGCAATTTCTAGAATTTCCAACAACAGCACTACGATCTTATTATCTCATTCGTTTTCGAATTTTTTGTATTGCAAGAAAATGAAAAGAAAATAATTGGTTTTTCAATAAGGTAGATGTTAAAATGATAAAACAAGCTAATTCTTTTTTTATTTGACAGGCACGTATGTACCGTTAACTGTGAGATATGACATGATTTGGCTTCTTACGGTGGTACCAATCCGAATGGTCCAATTTTCAAGGACTCTCATGCATTATGAACCTCGAGTGGGTTGCGGTAATTTTCCTTGTTAACACACATCTAAACGTTAAAGATGCGTTTTTGGCCAAAATTGAGGTCCTCTTCTGAACGATTTAAAACTCAGTCAGTGAATATATGGCGTTGACCTTTGAGCACCTGGGTCAGTTGCATCTTATAGTAGTGTGGGTAAAATGGGTGCAGTGCGAGCAAAGTTTAGACGAACACTCATTTTGACAATAATTTTTTTTATCATTTGAACGTGCTGTTCAGCGCCATGTTGATTCGGCATAAGTAAATAAATAATTAACAGAAGATTTTACAGACGCCACTGAAACAAAATGGCGGCCACGGGCCGCTAAAATCCACCCCCGCCAATTGAAAACCCTTAGGACAATAGAAAAATTTACACCAAACTTCTTTGTTTGTTATCACTTCAGTTGTTGCCGCTGCATTGCTTTTTTTAATAAACTAGAAACAAACTAGGGAAACAAAAATTTACATTTATAACCCCAAATTTTCGCAACTTAATGTGTTAGTACTCGCAACACTGCCTACAACTAAGCTTTAGTTAGTTAGAAAGTAAAATACGAGGCGCCAAATTCCGTTTTGAACATTACCTTTTACAAAAAACTTACGCAAGTACTAATTTATTTAATAAATCAATAAAATACACTTGCAATTTTGTCAGAATACATTCAAAAATTATTTTTTTAATTATTTATTTTCAAGCATTTAAGATATGGTTTGGTTTTTGCTCAAAAAAAATATCCTAAATATTATAATATTCACAATTATTAATAACAAACTGCCGAAGTTCAAAATCGATATGGGACGCCCTATTGGAGCTAAGAAAATGAATTCCCTGTATATGGGTAAACAATAACAAAACAATAATTCCATGCCAAATATCTAACCATACCTACAGTGTTAATAGATAAAAAAATGGATTGGTAGGTTAGAGGATTTGGGAGATTAATACATTTGTTGATCGAAATATTATGTCCCGGAAGACAGGAAAAGATTAAATTGGCCTTCAAATAATCAGATGTGATGTTTGCAAGCAAATATGTTAATTAAATTGTTTGGTAAAATTTGACGAAGACGCCAACTGCACTAATACTCTTTTCAAGTGTAACCATGGCCTACAAACTAATAAAGAAAGATACCGGGTATTGCTGGGCAACGCACGATTTATCTCTTTAAGTTGTTTACAAGAGCTTGGTATAAGACAGTGATACATATTTTTTGTTGAATGGTTTTGTTTGTTTGATGATTGTTTTCATTTTAATCCTTCCTTATATTTTTGACGTTTGTGTCTTGACGTATGGTAATATTTTTTCATTAAAAATTGATTTTAATATGTGAAAAGCTACCAATGATCACTAACCAAACTAAGCAAATAATCAAACCGTAACTTGATTTATCAACATTTATTGCATGTCTCGTCCTAAACCAATAAACTCAATAAAATGTTAAATTAGTATACCTTTAATTCTACTGTTAGAACTAATTATCATTTTAGTTCAACGCATTGGCAAACCGTTTAGTTAATCGAAAAGATTTACAAATTTTCGGCCAAAAATCTGTCCATAATAATAAATTATAATTATCCATTCTATTTTAAACTAATAACCTAAAAGAACTTTCAGAATAAGAACAATGGGCTGATGTTTGTAATGAAATGTTTTTGCATCAAGATCAATGCAAAATTTCGACTGTATCAAATAAAGAATCCATTATGTACAGCTGATGGATAGTTCTTAAGCAAACAAATCTGTAGTATGATTTGATGACATTTGTGTCAGACCCACAATTCATATATCCATTTATTGTCAAATCGCTTGTAGCATTATCTGCTCACTTCCGATTTGTTCTTTTGTAAAACTTATTTAAGTTGTAAGAGTTGTAAGTACTATTCTCTAATTAAATATCAAAGATCAATCAAACTAAGTACCTGATTCTGTGGATCAACTAATAAATTAATAAATAATTATTGCAGTCCCGTCTCGCATAACTTTGACACGAAATTAACATACCCCAACAGGAAAAATTAAGGCCCATCTCACCTTGACTATACAATGGAAATTCACCGTCGCTGTGGCTATGCGTTAACATCCGGATTTTCCTCCAAAAACTCGCGATTTGATCGCCTCCGGTCGGATTTAACCGAACATCAGGCTCGGAAGCTTAATAAACGGCAAGGATCCGTTAAACATTAGGGTCGTTTAATTCATCAAATGATAAAAAATTAATGCTTTTTGTAACAAAGAAAACACCAAGCCCGTCGCGACTGCTACTTATGGCAATAACCTGGGCGCATATCCAGAGAGAGGGTTGGGCAACGAATGATCACGGATGCCAGACTGCGCTTGAAACGGCCAAATTTCGCGAATTCGACTGGAAGCGACACCCGAGACTTCCGTATGCAAGACTCCAAGCGGTTATTCATAAATATATTCCCCAGAGAGTTTTATTAAATGTGCGTGGGTTGCATCAGAACGAGATAAACATAACTATCCTCTTTATATCGGGCGTCCGGGAAAATATAGGAGCGAGACACAAGAAAAGGATACAAGTTCACATTATTGTTTTTCCTGATGGCGCCTAAAGGATGGATATCTTGTTCATTAAAAAAAATAACTTAATTTATTATTTTATTTGCGTTTCTATCGCACAAATATGAAAAGAAATTTCTTACATTTTTACTTGATAATTTATTAAAAATAAAACATTTATTCCTTACAAAATTAAGTTTTTTTGTCGATATTAAAGAACAAATTTTTTTTCAATTAAAGACTTCAAAAATATTTTTTTTTTAACAAACAGGATGTTAAACATAATGCGTTTACGTGTACAAATTAGTCCATCTCTGATAAAGTAAATAAGCTAAATATGTTTTAAGGATACTACTTTAACGGTTCTACCTTAACAGTAAGAAGAAAAACTAATTTTCAGCAGCGTCCTTTAGGGATTTATATCTTCGTAAACATAACCTGTAGAATTTCTCCAATATTACCCATCTTTTTAAAAGCTAAATTTACAGCAAACTTTTTTATTAAAATTACTAGTCCATTTGCTGCGTCTTTATGTAACATAAAAACTGCTTTATTGGTTATTTGGATTTATCTTCATTTTTGCTCCTAAAGTCTCGCATATTGTATCTTCCTCGCAAGACGGTGATAAAAAAATTTTTTCATTAAGTTCTTTTGCTGTATTTGAAAAACTATACCACATCTAAATCAATCACTAATATTGCAGTAGCTCATTGCACTTGAAAGTTAAAATATGTTAATATTTTATTTTCATTCTGACTTATGTCCTCAAAAACAACAAACGAATGTTTTACATATATGTAATGTATATTGTATTATATATATTACACAAAGTTGTTCAACTGAGGTACCTCAATTTTCATCAAAATTAATAGCGAAGAATTAGCCTTTATTCTTAACAATTAATACGCCCAATAGAAGAATTGTCAAAAACAGCAACTAAATATTATACTTTGTATTAATTTAAGCAAAAATGTTGATATTTTATATTGATTAATAGAATATTTGGAAGTCAAAGAAACTGCTAAACGCAATAGTCCGATAAAATTCAGGCAATTCATGTCAAATATTGACAGTATAGGTTTCACATGGATTGCCCTGTATAGAGAGCTCACCAGCAAAGTGACTTTCTGGTATAGTCAATATCGATGCACTGACGGCACTGCAAAGTCGCACTTACTTGTATCTCCATTGGCTTTCGTGAAATCCAGAATTTTTCCTGTGGTGCCAACAGAAGTGGCTTCCGGAATGGGTATGACTTCAGTAGACAAATCATTTTCTAAAAATACACACTTTTTAACAAAGCTTTTACTTATCGATAGACTTAATGGTTAAGGTGTTTCCAAAAAGAAAAAAGTTCACTCCAAATGAATCCTATTGTATTTTTATCTTTGGTGTTTCTACCTAGTTACCCTTTATTTCGCTGCCAATTTGGTAAATATATAAATACTTTAATAATTTGGTTATATGGAATATATAATAAACTGTTACATTTGTTTAAAACCTCTGATTTCTTCAAAAACGGTATCTTTGCTTTGTTTTTTAAGCGTACATATTAAACACATTCAAATAAAACAACTTTTATTAAAATCAATTACAATCATGTAATTAAGAAATTTACAATCTTACAATTAAGAAATAAATAAAGTAACAGTCGAAAAACTTAAATTAAATTAAAAAACAAAAATTTCCAATCACTATCGAATTTTTTTAACTATTTTTTCAAGCAACTCAGTCATTAAACCATAGAAATGTTTGTTGGTCATTCCAAATCTAATCAAATCGCACAGTTTTAATTTTTTCATTATTATAATAATAATTTCTGCAGGCAGATCCTCTAAGCAAGGAAAGAGTATGTTATGATGCTTTAATATACAGTATTTGACAGGAAAACAGATTCTATCTTTAATAACCCTAGATAAGTGATTCAAACTTTGAAACTTGTATCTTTGTAAACACAAATCAGAAGAAGTAAAATAAGTTAGAGGGTCTAATAAAGCATTGAACAAAGAACGTTCAACACCTTTTACAAAGCAGTTAATGAGCAAATCTTCTGAAAAGATCACAATGGCCAGTTTAACTTCATATGAAGGGAATGCCGGTAACACAAGGGTAACATGATAACTTTTATTTCGACGTACAACAGGTAAACTTTGACTTAATTGTAAAACTCTTTGGTAATCAAAATCACACTTGTCATTATCTTTGTAGCCAAGAGGTACAAAACCAGATTCGAGCATCAAAATATAAATCAATCCTACAAGGATTTCCACTTTGCCAAAAGGGAAGGAAGAATTTTCTATGAATTTCAAAATGTTCTGAAGACTTTCAGGTTCTTCTTCATATTTATAATCGTCCACTAATAGGGGCCTCATTACTGAAATAAAACAAAATTATTTCAGTCATTCAATAACTTTCCATTCCTAGCTTCAATATAACTAAAGAATTATCAAAGGTGATTTTTTATAGCTGAGTAATACTAATTCAACTCTAAATCGACGGAAAAATTACTGTTAATTACAATTAAATTAATTGCAATTAAAATTGCAACATTTCTGCAACATCCATAAAAAAATTTTGGTCAGACCCTGTAGATCGTTTGAAGCAGCCTGTTGCTTTTCCTTGAAAATGTTTTAATTATAATTTGATTAGGGTGATAGTTGGAATGTTACGCACCATGACACGTTGGCAATTTTAAAATCGTTTTAAAAAACAGTAAACCGCTTGAACATAAACACTTTTAAAGGGTAAAAATTGTGACTTATTGAACTTTTAAACCTAACCTACAAATTTGAGTTGCGCGAAAGCTTTTCGAATTCAAACATTTGAGAAGAAAATAAAGAAAAACTGGTATCAATTTAGGGAAAAAGTAACTGCAAAGATAATCGTTCCTTGCCTCGTTTAGCAAAAAGACTCTCGGTGCAAATATTCCCAAGCAAAACACCATCTGTCATAACTTCGGCTGGCCATTGTGTCGATTCAGATTAGGTTAGGGAACTTACCATTTTCAGTTTTATGTTTTTCTGGAATATCCAAACATTCGCTCTGCGTACAATTCTGAACATCAGTTTTATTTGCCACACCACTAGAATTACTTTCAGCCATCTTCTTCCTACTTTATGGGCCAGTTTGACTGCCCTACTGTTTGAAAATGGTTTCACTGCCGACAATGTAGAGGTCGCCACCTCTCAAGGAAAATTTGATATTCGTAACGCATATTTTGAGAAAGTTATTTCTCTAGCAGTTTGTATAATGGAAGGACAGGAAGAAAATATACTCAAAAAACAACTTAAAATCAAATTTAATTAAATAAGATGGTTACATTGCATAGAACATCGGCGTTGATAGTCCCTTCTTAGATGCTCAGTTCTTAGATGCTCAGAAGTTCCTGTAACAAAGAGTGTAGGAGCATTTAAATAATTAACAATACTTAGTTTAATTAACAATATTACACTTTTGCTTTAAAATGTCGCAATCTAAAAATAAATCAAATTTTTAAAAAAACAAATTTAAATATTTTTACTTTCCTGTATACAATTAACTAGTCCCTGATCAAAAAAATTATAAAAATTATTCCTAACCTAACGATTTTACATAGTCAAAACAGTAAAGAGATAACTAAATGGTATTTTGCATAATACTGCTATATGCAATTAAAAAAATGTGCAAAAGACTTATCCCTACTTAGCAATGATCCCATCTTTTTTTGTTAGTCTGACAATACAATCGTCTGATTCACCCATTCGGCGAACTGCTCCACACAGGGCGTAGCTCTTCGACGTATCAGTCATCCTTCCTGTTACAGGGTCGACATCGGCAATGCTCAGTTGAATAGAAGCATGATCTTTAGCGTGGATAATTCTGTTACTAGCGGAACTAAGAATCGATTTTAAGGTTAGAACGCACGTGTAAAAATGCCTTACGTTCATACAAACCATTTTCTGGGACAGTACAAGTCAACACACTCTCCGGCATCATTCTCCATTGTCGAACGACCTGAAAAATATAGATTAAAGGATTTATCGATGTAATAACAGCAAGAAAACGAACTTTTTTCTAAAAATTATGGCAACAGAAACAAATCCTTCTAAACCAACTGTTATAAAGAAATTGTCAAGCGTCAAATTAATAGAAGGAAGGTAGAGAACAAATTTATACAACCACAGTTGCATATAAAGCAAAAATTCTTCTTCTTTACATTTAACGTCACATTGGGTCCATCTACCGGCCAATAATTGTGTTTTCTAGTTTGACCCACAACACGCACAACAGCATTCTATCCGATAATTATAAATTTTCCGTTAGATGGCGGACAGATTTCTCGTTTTCGTGGGAAGAAGCTTCATCGCCGATTTGTGAATTATTTGACAATGCGAAGCTACAATTTCCCGAAGAAAATTTTCAAAATGGAAATAGTTTCCTTAGACACCTTAAAGTTAAAATTCAACAAAAGTAGCGAACGAAACACGAATTTACCCTATTTCTCTTGAAGAACCTGGTATCATATTGGTTCGAAAATAACAACCGCGGAAGACAACGCGCAAGCTCGGTCCCATTTAAAATGCGCGGGTCGTCGTCGATACTGGGTTATACACACTTTCTATAAAACCGCAACTCAACTGCATCACGGATTGCGCATTCATTTTAAAGGTTATTTGTTTTTAACAAAATCCGGTCTATAATAGTTTCTTTAGTTGATCGAAGTTGAGTGTTTCGCCAGCCATGCTTCATAACTTTTGATACCGGATACCTTAAAGCGTTTCACACGCTCCGTTGTGGATATTGGTAAAGGAGTGAGTTTTTAAAAACCATAAGTAAAATGTCATTAAAGGTAAGTTAGTGTTTACGTAAATATACGTACTTACGTAATATTTTTACGTCTACTTTAAGTATTTATTTTGTGCGATAAAAGCTCCGTTACGTCATAGATTTTTTCTGGTAACAAAAATAGCTTAAGGTACATATAGAAGAACATTGTCTGAGCTGATAGTTTGTTTTCTCTGAAATTAATTTACCCTATGAATTTAATTCTAAAAATCAGTAGCTTAATAAAAATATTACGTATTGGTTATACGTGGTGTCCCAAATTACTTTTCTGAAGCCCGTTTGACGTTTCATCTTCGCGGGACCATCATCAATTTTTGTTTTTTAATGCGTATAGACTATTTGAGGTGATTTTTTTAAATAATTTTTTTCTCAATTTTTATTACCATAATTTTGTTTTGATATTATTTTTAAGCTGTATGGAAAGGCTACAGCTAGTCCAAAAAGTACAGATGCACAAAATGACTTAAGACATATTTTAATAACGAGAAAGAAGATATGATATCCCCTCGAACTAAACGTGTTGCAGAAAAGAAATATATATTTTTAACTTACTGATTTAGCGGACGATACAGTGTAATAAGAATAGTGTATTAGTTAACATACATCGGATTTGTCAATAAATTATCCAAATGTTATCTTAACAATGCTTTTAATATTTCCCTTCTATCTATATACAGAAATATTGTTTTTTTAAGCAAGCACGAAGTTATAAACATAATTTTTAGAATTAGTTTTTACTCTAAAATAGCAAAATTCGATTTCTTAATTTCTTATAAATTCAACGCTATTATACTTTTTTGTAAGTTACAGATTGTCAAAAATCATAAAAATAATCCGTCTCTCAGAAAACGCAAAAAGAACAGCTCACTACTTTTTTTTGTCAATTTTATAAAAATTTTTCATTGACCAATACTTTGCTACGTACTAAATTGAAGTATTTCATATATTATATAATATTTTATAGCTTTTAATTGCGAAGCTGAGATTTATTTAAATTCAGCGTACATATTTTGTGTATTTTTATAATTCGTTTATTATGTTGTCACGATATTCAAATTTTGTTTGTTCAATATCTTGAGTTATTTTTTAACTTAAATATAATGTTTTGCAAAATGTTTGAATTTCTTGATCACGTAATTAAAACAGTTTAATAATTCTTATGCCTATGTATAACTTTGTACTTTTTGCTGTGTTTCGTTTAATTGGATTAGATTTAATGAGAAATCGTACTATTCCGGCATTACCCGTAGCAATTCCGGAACCGCCTAGGCGTGCCGGAAATGGCGGTGTTCCCTTTCACGAACCGTCACAGGCGAAGGCAGACGTACCGCCAGCTCGCATTTCCTCGATGCTTTCCGACGATTATTTTTGTAGAAACAAATTCAGATTCGGCCAAAGCAAGTTAATTAAAACTTGTTAAATACAATTCCGATGTTATCTCGATCAACGTGGAATATAATTTACGTTACCCTCTGTTATGGCTAATTACCTCTCGAACATTGAATAAAATTCTGATCAAGAAGAAAAAGGAAAGACTTTTAATTTTATTTTATTTTTCTTTCAATATTATTTAATTTATTCAATTAGCAACATAATATTTTTTTTATTCCAGTATACCTTTTGAAAATAACTTTTCCCAGTAAGGTGATTTAATAAGGTACGTTTCGGAAATAAAGATGTTGCCGTTTGAAAAAGGCTTGGATTGAATATTTAAAAATAAATTTTCAATTTTCAATAATAAAATTAATCAATAAAATTGTAATATTAATTAATTAAATAATGTTCAATGCTTGCTTGCTGTGATATTCAACAGATGTCGAACATTTTTTTTAGAAAGAATCTCTATCGGATGCACGGTTACACTTGGCATCGCTAAACGGTGATCTGCCATTACTCGTCAGAATCTTGGATAGCGGGAAAGTTCATGTAGACTCAAAAGATAAGGTATTTGTAAAATTTTGCTTGCAACTATGCTGTTACTTTAAGGCTGTTGTAAGTACTTCCAATAAATTTTTATTTCTACCTATACGTAAGGTGTCAATATTTGCATTTGTCGATTTATTCAATTTTTCTGTGAAATTGTGTTAACTTTATACTTTAGATGAAATGTTAAGTTAACTCAACCATTTTGATATTCCTATACTTTTACGACTTTTCGGAAATTTTATATGACGATATAATATGAAAGTAATTTTAACTAACCAAGTTAAATATCTCAGTAAATGTAAAATTCTCACAATTTTTTATGGACTCAAGAAATAAAAAGTGGAAAACGGTAGAAATTCAGAAATATGTACGTTTTCAGGAAGGCACAACTCCGTTAATATTGGCAGCAGCCAACGGCCATTTTAACTGCGTTAAAGAGTTAATTGTACAAGGAGCTGATCCGAATATCAAAAGAGTGGTGAGTCTATAAGCGATGTGCAAGAGGGCTAGTGAAAATTGGTTTAGTTCCAAAACAAGCAGAATTCGAAAACGTCATGGAATAAACATTTGAATAAAAAAAAACTTGGATGAACTTTTGTTACGATTTTTGGAAAATATGTACAAAAAAACTAGTTATTGCAGCATTAAATTTTTTAATCTTTTAATTTTTAACGTCGATTGGATTTTCTAAAGTAGAAATAAGCCTATATTTAGCGAACGTTAACCGCTAACCATTAAATTCGATTAAAGTATTTAACCATTTTTAGACAGGCACCACTGCATTGTTTTTTGCTGCCCAGGGTGGTTTCGTCGACATAGTGAAGTATTTATTGGAGAATGGGGCATCCGTAAATAGTTCAAGCGCGGTAAGTTTCATCAAAAACATTGCATAATTATTTTTAACCATTTCTCAATTTTCGTTATCGCTTTCACCATCTGCCTTCTTTTTGCGGTCCAGCAATTTGTCTTTCTGTTCTTGTACTTGTTTTCGTATTTGTTCTTTCCGGTTTTCTTCGATTTTTCGTCGTAAACGTCGTGTCAGCTCTTCGTTCAATTTCCTCATATATTCATTTTCGAACGCATCTCCGCGTTTTTTAAAGGAATCGTCGCCGTTTGGTAGACAAAAGGCTCTTTCCTGTACAGTACTAATTGCAAAAACTACATATTTTTTAAACTGGTAATGCAGTTCGCTCTTAATGCAATGGCAAAGTTTAATTACATTTGACATTTTATGTATGCGCACGTCAATCAGTTTATATTATTGAATAATAATAATACAAGAAAATAATAGTTTTGAAAAAAGTTCTAAAAGTGTAAAACATATTTTTTTATTGTATATTATAGCAACGTGTTTTCAATAATTTTATGTAACTTTAACTTCTGGAATATTCAAGAAGTATTGAAGTCATGCATGCGAAATTTGCCGTTAAAAAATAAGTATAATATATAATAACCGGGGGTGCACAGCGGATGGCCTATTACATATATCTGGAGAATTATATAGGGTGATCTATCTCTACATTATATTTTAGTAGACTTCTTTGTAAATGTGGCAACGATAGCTTGCTTATTTTAAATGGCAAGAAACAAAATAGATTTTGTTCATATTTGCCTATACCTATATTCTATCGTTATAGAAATAAAAAATAATTTCCTAGATTTTTAAGCAATTTAGACCCTTGAAGAAATCCTAATAGTTCCGTGCTTTAGTTAAATAGCTAGCTGAACTTTTACAGATAGTTCCTGGAAGGACTTGGTCATTCTTTGCTGGTATACGATTTTAAATGGCAATAAGATTTTGTACGAGTTTTAAAAACACGGTTTATCAAGTTTTTTTTGATAACACACGTTATTCGTTCATTTTCGAATTCCAGAAAATAAACTAACCCAATTTTGTTCAAGTTTCCTTATCATTTTTGAAATAAAAATAAATTTTTATGATTCTTAGGTAACATTAACATTGAACACCGTCATTTCGAATAAAAGTTTCGTACTTAGAAAACACTTCTTAAACCTCAGTTTTTCAGAAGTAATCCATCAATCAAGACAGAAGATTTCTTCTTGTCAAGTTCCAAAATCTTCTTTGTGAACATAAGCCATCTTCAAATTATTTAATGATCTTGCTATTAGCGGTCCCAAAAAAATACGACTACGACACTTTTAGCACCTTTCAGACAACTTATGTAATATGAAAGTGATTTTTAGAAAGTTATGATAATAGACCCTCATATATCCCAACAGTGAAACTTAGTCACAATATAACAGTAATCCATAAAGTTATAGTAACATATTGTTCTACAGAATACTAAATTCCCTTAAAAATTACTGCTCGTTCTAGCAGATAATAATATTGTTAAAAATTTCATGACCGTTTTGAGGTCGTGTTGACTATAACTTACCTACATTATTTAACGTAACAAATAACAACCATATGGATGCATATAATACGCTACCACTAAAAGAAAACTGAAGGTCATGTGTTTTAGGACGGTGGAAGTCCTTTATTCGTTGCTTGCCAAAGTGGCCACGTGGATGTAGTTAAAGAACTTGTCATTGCAGGTGCCAAAATCAACGCATATATGAAAGTAAGTTTTGTCAATAGTTCCCGTCTATAGATAGACGTATAATTTTGCTTCTAGGATAGGGCCACTCCGTTATTTATAGCAGCTCAAAACGGACACTATAAGGTGCTACTTTACTTACTAGCACGCGGTGCAGATCCTGATGCCAGAAGGACTGACGGCGCTAGCCCTTTGTGGATAGCAGCCCAAATGGGTCACGATCACATAGTAGCTCAGCTTTTAAAGAGCGGAGCGTTCGTCGATGCTGCGAGATACGTAAGTGACCATATACCCAACTGAACCAAAACCAAACCAAAAAAAAAACAAAAATTCATTAATATTTATTATAATAATTATTTAGAATAAGTCTGTAAGTCACTACTATGGAATTATGACACTTTTAGTATAGAATAAATATTAACAACTACAACCAAAAATGTTAATGATATGTCAAAAAAGCAGTTTTATTATAAATGTTTTTAACATAACAAAAATCTAGAGAAAATGAAAAACGACATGCTTAAAATAGATAGTTCAAGTAACTGTGAATTTATAATTTTTTGATGTTGAAAAGGACCACCCTAATGAAATTCTTTAATGATATACGAATAGAGTAGGGTCAGATTTTACACGAAGAAGAAAATTAGGTCCAAATATTTTCCGTTAAGAAAACACAATAAGTTGGGAACTTTCACAGTGTAGGGCTTATTATGTTTTTCTTAAATTGAAGTGAGACGAATTGAAATTTTTGAAATCTTGAAATATTAGAAAAATTTTCATTTTCCTTATTCTCTTCAAGTGTGCTGCGAAAACTCCTTAAAACTGTATGGTGGAAGTTCGTTTCACAGAGGTTGTTACTTCCGTTTTTTTTTTTTAAGAACGACCCCCATTTTTATATTTTATATACGACATTCGTTAGGTCATAATTTTATTTGGCGGTGAAACTATATGCAAATCTAGACGAAAGCGGACAGACCTATTTCCTATCGAGGTTATCGTGAAAGTTGTAAATATTTGTAAAGCATATATATTTGGATTTTGGAAGCATTTAGGCAAGAAAAGTTAATCAAATCTTAATATCAAAAAATATATATTTTGATAGCGTTACGTAATGTTGTGGAAAGGAAACACTGATAACATTGAACAACTATATAAGTACAAATATCGTCAGATCTCGAACAAAGATCCAATTTCGCTAAATTTACACATACGAGGGAACATTGAAATATTGACTATTTTATAAATTTGCGATATGGTCCTTAATATTAATGATATTTTTATTATATTAGGTATTTTTAGTTGCAAATTTTTTATTATTGATTATGAAAAATGTCGTTTGCACGTTTAATTTACTTTTCTGACACTTGAAAAGTGACCTACGAGGGAAAATTGAAAAAATGTGTATTTTAGAAATTTGCGTTATGGTCCTTAATGTTAATGATATTTTATTATATTAGATATTTTTCGTTGCAAATTTTTAACAGAAATAAAATGGAGAAAATAAAATTTGAATTTAAAGTTTTGGTTTTTTCACAATCCTGATCAGGATCAGAATCTTCATCGTTCAATTTAAAGTTTATTTTCGCGATGATTCCACTCTCAAAAAGATCTTTTAAATTTTTACTTTTCTTTTATTTTATGTTTTCTCATTTACTTATGATACCAAAATATCATTTTCTAGCTTAAGTAGTCGTACAGAATCTGAACTTAACATTAACTTGCTCTTGAACCATCACGGAATATGTATATTATGCAAATTCGTATTTAAGATTCTAGCCACGATGACAATCCTAAAAAAAAATTCCTTTGAAATTTTAAATGGGCTATTTTCTTTCTGTTTTTCTGTTAAAATTTTGCGATGAATATGTTTTTAGAAAACCATACGATTCTTAATATCAAGCAAGAAACTGGCAAATTTCTAAAACCGTCTTTTAAAAAAAACTATTCCTCGTAGCTTAGAAACTACAATCTCAAGCGGTATATTTGTGTCTTCAATAATAACGGAGTTTCGCAAAATGCCGTCATTTAAAAAGATCTGTTTATATTATAATGAAAATGATATAAATACGGATGCAACTGAACCATCACTGAGTTTCTATACAAGAGCAATAAAGTCTCATTAGGAGCAATTATTGGCAATTCAGCCAGATAAGATAAATTAAAATAATTTTTCGCCATATTATTTCGCGCAGTTAGCTCGCAATTTCGGAGAAATCAAACCGACCGGTTCTAGTTTGTTCTATTAATTAACTCGACTAATTGATTTTGGTATTTACCGTTTTGCGGCAAGGTTGGCAATACCGTTTTCTGTTAAATTAATTACGGTTGACGGTTTGTAGAAAACGGTTTTTGGACAAATGGGATCGTAAAATTGATTAAAAAGTCAGTGCAACTTCTTACATATTTTTGCAAAGTTATGATACCGAATATCCGCTAAGCACACGCACAATTTCATCTGTAACTCTGAGCTTGATGAAAATAATTTTATTTCAAATTATTGATATCGTTGTAAATATTCTTTTAGGATGGAGCCACGCCTCTGTTTAAAGCATCGCACAAAGGACATTCGGCAGTAGTAGGCGAACTCTTAAAATATAAACCATCATTGGGAACATTAGCGGTAAGAAAATACAGTTTTACGAAATTCCGTTATTTGAAAAATTAATCAATTCATGTTATACGATTAAACCACAATGGCAGTAGTCAATTTAAATTAAATAAGTACCCGAACCTCCCCACCCACTGTTGGTGTAGGTCAGTTTGAAATCTAAAATGTGAGCCCTCATTTTTCATTACAGAGTTGGATGCCACGCCACAGAAACATAGCTTTTTTCTGAAAATTTCTTCGATTCTCGGTAGATGACATTTTAATTCTACAAAGTGTAAAAAAATATTATCTGATTAAAATTGTTAATTTAACAAGTGACAGCCAAAAGTTGCTAAATTTGCGTCCTTCGCGAGAACTTGGATTTTCTATGTCGATGTTTGTGCCTTTTATTGGGCCATCGTCATGAAAAAGTGCCAGATTTCTTCAGTCAAAGAATTTATAAAGATCCCGATTGTTTATTGTACGTTTTTTAATTTTCTGCTGCAATATGACCGTCAATATTCTGCCTCTTTAATACTTTATGTACAAATTGCTTCTATTTCCTAGCCTTCAAATATCAAAGTGCTAGATGTCTGCTGATGGAAGATCATGTTAATTATGATCAGTAATTCCGCTATTTCCACATGTTTTGGACACCCTTTATAAAATCAGACCGTATGCATATGACCTAGACCTTGTTAACGAAGTAGAAAAGGGAGAATCAAAAATAAAAAAGTAAATAAATAAATGTAAAAAAAACTGGATGTTTGCAAGTAACAGAGATATGCTATTATGCTATTGAAAGAGAAGCGAGTTACATATAGAGCGTATTAAAAAAAAAACGCGCGAACTGGAGATGTGTCATCCAAAAAATAAGAAAAAGTTCATATCCAGATCCAGAAATGCTTAATTTCCAATTTACGGGGTGGTAAATATTCAAAAAAAGGCATTTTTGCAATATCATAAACATTTTTTTTCCGATTTTGTTGAAATTTGACCACGTCATTTATGAAGTCCAGTGCCGCCCGGGTATAGTATTGCCAACGATATAGAGCTCACAAAAAGTACAGCTTTTTTTGGTTTTTCGAGAGAAAAACAAAAATTATGAAAATTGATATTTGGTAGGTATGTAGCCTATGACGTAAGGATATTCGCACAACCGTTATTTTAAATATTGAACACTCTGGAAGCTAAGCATTTCCGAACTTTTTTTCTATTATTTGATGTCGAGCATTGGCGCATGTTTTTTGAAACACTCTGTAGGCTATTTAATTATACGAACTAGTCCTTTAATGTACAGAGTGTTTTCTAATTCTAAACATATGTTCTAAACGTCTTAACTTTTGGGACACAGGGTAGTTAAATTTACATTTAATCAATCTTTTTTTTAAATCCGATCTAGGGTTCTCACATAAAAATATAAAAACCTCTTCTCTGCATGGTCATAACAATACCGGCAATATGATAGCGTACAGAGAAATTAGTTTTTAATTTTAAGTGAAAACCGTGCGACAGACTAAAAAACTTAAAGTATCATTTTTTTTAAGGAAGTCAGTGGCTTGCTTAATTATGTCGCCAATGCACTGGTTAAATCGAGAAAAAATACGGTTGAGTGAAACAGTTGACAGTTGACTGACAATTTCAAATTCTATTGATGAAAGTTCTGAACTTAGTATGAGAAAAATTGGAAATAATTTGAATATCTCCCACGTCTTGGTTTGGAAAATTTTGCACGGTTTTCTATTATACTATACATATTCAACGAGATTTTCCCTTGCGGGTTAATTTTTGTCAATGGTTTTTGTTTGTTTGACCAAGAAATACCATTTACAGATGAAACTAACAGAATAACCATATTTGGGCCGATGAAAATCCCCACGCAGTTGTAGAATTTAAACATAATATTAATAATTAATAATAATAAATAATAATTAATAAATTAAGAACAGTTTTCGGTAAATGTTTGGGCTGGAATTGTTGAAAATTACTTAATTGGACCTTTTTAACTCCAGAAATGAAAAAATGGCCATAGTTATCGCAATAATTATTGTTAAGAGGTTTTGTTATTTCATTAAAACTGTAAAAGTAAAAAGAACCGTCCTCTAATAGTTTTTTTTTCTAAACAACACTAGGTAGTAACTAAAAAAAACTGGATATTTTGTTTTAGATAGATGTTTTAATTTTCACAAAAAGAAGTTCTCGATTCAATCAGTGCAGTGGCGATTAACCAAAATATTATTTGTTCATAGACAGGCAGTGACACGCCCCTGATTTCCTTATAGCAATAATGACATTTGCATTTATGACCAGATTTGATCTCTTATTTTTTTTTTTTTAGTCGTTCGCACGTCCTTTACTGTATATTAACCATATTGTTATGGCCATGCGGAGAAGTTTTTTTTTTAAGCGAAAACCGTACATCGAAGTGAAAAAAATCAAGAATTCAAATTTCTTTAGTTCTTCCAAAACGGCCTATAAAACATATACAGGGTGATTTTAATTACTATTGTTATTATCGCCAAAACAATATTCTGAATAACTCGCTGGGTTTTTAAAAATAATTTCTATTTTTCAGAACGGCGAAAGTGCGTTACACGCGGCGGCCTTTTCCGGTAGTTTGCCTGTTTGTAAACAGTTAATTGGGGCGGGGGCGGACCCTACATTAAAGAATCAAGAGGGTTTGACGCCCGTCGATATCGCCATCCAGCATAAACACAACGTAGTTAGTGATTACTTAAGCCAGCGTGTATCGCGTCATAGGTAAAAGTAAACCGTGCGACATTTTGTAACTCAATTTACAAATTATGCCAAAAGCAAAAAGAAAAACGATAAGGAGTTACTTTTTCCAAACTGTTATTGTTTTGTACTAAGCAGGACGCCAAAATTGATATTAATTAGTTGATATACAGAGTGTTGCATCAATTACCCAGGTAGCAGAGGGTTGTAAAAATGAGGTTGTTAACTAGTCACTAAAGGACGAAAATGAAGTTAAATATGACGTCAGCAGGAAGTGAATTTACCTACAAATGTCTCAGACGAATGATGTCATTTAAGTGAGGTCTTTTTTACGTCAATTAGTGTAGTCAATTTTTGTCATTTAAATGACTTCTTTACGTTAACTTAAAGTCCGTGTAAGTAAGTATCTCCAAAAACATCCGATTCCTCCCAAATCCGTGTGGTAAAATCCCTGAAATGTCCGAAGTGGCTCGGATTCGTGGGAAACGAAACTGACATGGTAAAGTGACGCTTCCCGCATACTAGACCGATGGGTAATTAGGTATTTTACAGATGGGAGTTGAAAAAGTAAATTAAATGACATGGAACATCTTTTGCGGATGTGGAAAGTGGAGAATTATAGTTAATGAATAAAGATGAGCCTTTCTTTAAAATAAATTAATAATGAAAGTATAATATTCAGGATCTTCCATTTGATTTTTTTCACAAAAATTATTATTTTTCATTTTAACTCAGGCTGTATAAACAATTCGGATTAACTTCAAAATATTGGAATAATAAAATTACAGCTGTCGGAAATGACGTAAAACATATACGGTATTAAACACGTTGGGTGATTGAGTATAAGAGAGAGACCCTGTATATTCGAAAATAATTATAATTTTTTTTAATCTCATCTATACCTTTTGTATTTAACATTTTTCTCAAAAACAAATAATAAGCGTCAGCGCCCCCGTATTTTCTAATTCATTAAGATTCACGCAAGATAAATGACAATTGTTTACACACTGTACAAAACGATTTTCAACTGTTTAATTATGTCAATCATCCTGCGTTAGATAGACCCATAGACTATAGAAATTATCTCAACATCTCAACTAGATCTGATTTCATATTTACAATTACACAGCAACACATACCATGGCCGATGGTGTTTTGCCGTTGAAACTTATTTGTACTATTGAAATGTTCGTGACGGAAATTAGAAATTGTTTTTTTTTCTTTTAATATAATTTTTTTTATTTTTGTTTGTATTTGGTGACCGTCGCAAGCATATCGGACAACATAAGGGCCAGAAATATTTTGTTACCCAAAAAGCACATATGTATATTTTTAACCTCTTATGCGAGTTGGTTATTCGTTTCGTTTTTGACGGAGGTTTGAATTTTATCGAATTTTTTGAAAATATTTTTCAAACCATGTGCAAGCAACAGACAAATTCAATTCAGAACTCGTTCTGGCAATTATTATTGCCGATATGTTTTCCATGGAACACACTGTAGAAATATAATGATATTAAAAACATATCGTGCCTTTATATTAAGTAGTATACTACATACACATTGTTTAAAAGTTTAAGTGCGTAAAGAAATAGAGCAATTCGAAAATATTTCGTAAAATTGGTGAGATTTTTGTATATTTCATTGACGGTGTAAATTTTATTATTAAAAATAAATTTTGTTTTATCGATTGTGTATTATTTATATGACCCGAAAATCAGTTACTACACTGTACAGTGTGTACCATTTTTTGTGGTTTTACGGCGTATCTAGGATTGTCGAATTGTCTGGTCAAATTTTTTTGCATCAATTGACCGAAATAATTTCAAAATTTATATTTATTTATATTGTGAGTTACGTCGCCGTCACGCGGTTCTGGAAACCAAATGGAGACGATATTATTATTGAGATTACCGAAATCGCTAAGCATCGAATTCGGATATTCATTGAATAGGTAAATTGGGCCGTTTGTGGTGCAAAATGGGTACAAACATAATGTGCGCCGCTAGTGTATGCTGTCTCGCATTTTAGATCCAATTTGATTTTAAAAATGGTGCATTTTTAGAAACCCTTTGCAGTTCGATTGTGCGTTAACTTAAAAGTTGAACACTGGTCAGTTCTGGTTAATGGAGTAGTGAATGAAGTTGAAATTTTGATATATAAGCAACAACAACTGTAGGTCCTATAATAATTTGATTCGGCTTGTTGTTAGTTTCTCAAAACTATTTACCATGTAAGTGCTATTTCAAATACAAGGCATTTTAATTTTGTGTTTTTATATAAATTACACAATTTATTACAAAAAGTTAGTTACCCGTCAAAATAACTAGTGTGTTCGTAATATTAAATGCGAATTTATAATACACCCTATTATATCCAGTTTCTCATAATTTTCATATTTTGGAATAACATGATCCATAGCACAAGAGGTGACTGAAATTTCAATAATAATAACGAAATATCGCTACTGTTGGACAACTAAAGTATATTAGACAAAGCAACACCTTTTTTCTATGAAAATAATAAAATTAGAGCTATATGATGTGTATTTCACATACCCCTTGAGGGTTACATATTTTTGAGAAGCTAACAAGCCTAATAAAATTATTAAATTAAATACAAAGAGTTCCATTTAAAAACACAATTTTAGTTTGTATATCAAAATTTTGGGGTTTCAGAAGAAACTGGAGTCCACATAAAAAACCTATCTAGACCAGTTTTCTCATTCTCGATAAGTTATAAGCGAACTACAAAAATCACCCTGTATCTAAAAATCCAGGAGAGCTATGATATTTCAGTGTATCCGATGTTTCATTTTATGAAAAAATAGCCACGAAAGTCGCAATATATCAGGTTAAGAAGCAATATACGCCGTAAAACCATCAAAAATTGCACACCCTGTGTCAACATTTCTTAAATAATCGATGCCACAAACAAAAATGTCAAGATTATTAACTATATACCTGTAACTCGAAATTAGGACAGATGACGACTACCTCATTGCAAAAATTTCAAAATCATGATGTATCTAAAAATCCGCTATGACATACCTGAAAACTAATCTCAATTGCAGGACCAATACAAGAGTGGAAAACCTGGAAACGTAGTTTTCTATTTTATCATCAAATTCATTAAACTAGTCTGGAAAATGTTATCACCAAGTATGGCTTATTTTTTGCTGAATTGTTGTCCGGAAAAACGGTATCAAATGTCACGGAAAATATGAAATTGTCACAAAATTTTGGTCTTTAATTCTTATTGTACATTTGTGCTAATATAATTAATATTCCAGGATACTTTTTTTACGGTTCACCTTATAATTTTTTAAATATTTGGCTCGTTTATTTTCTACGCGCTAATTACTGAGGTTAAATTAAATTTCACACCTTTAACGGTACCGAAAAATTGCATCAGATTGAAAGGAAACTACCTCCCGTAAAAATTTTCCGCGCAATTAAACATAATTCGGTAAACATCCATAAATATTACCACTCCAAAATATTTTACGAGTTCAATATTGTTCGAATTAAAAATTCATGCGAATCCATAACGGCAACTGTTCAGCATTTTGCCGGTTTCTCGTTGTAAAGTTTTTCTCATCGACCGCCTATCATTTCATAAATTTTTGATGGATACGATTATAATTGACTCTCATCGTAGAATATCGTTTAGTTTAATAAATGTATAATAGTTTCAAGGATACATGCCGATTGCACCTCTGTAAGCAATAAAAAGTGGTTCGTGACATGAGTCGGATTGCTACAGCCAGTTCCGCAAAACTTACCCTTTGTAAGTGATTTTTGTTTTCTCGCACGATTTAATCATAGAAAGTGACGTGTTTTTTTCATTTCGGCAGCATCGCCGAATATTTTCTCTCTTACTTCGTGCGGACGCCTTAATTTATAATAAAAAAACAACTCCCCCGATCAGATTTAACAAATATGGGGACGGTTTTTAAATGAGTTAAGTTTCAGAAGTATCGGTTACGCATTTTCGTGTATCAAACTTGCGGTTGTTGTTAAATTTGAAAACCAAAACCTCATTAAGAAGAACTAAATAGGGAAAAATTTTGTTTAACCATTTTTTGCATGATATTATAATTTGGGAGTGGTTTTAAATTCCGCGGCAAAGAATTTGTTTCTACAAGCGGTAGGAGATTGAAGACTGTTTATTAGATATTTAACGTCGGTGCTTGTGAATGTATTTTTATGACGCAATTAGCAATCTTGGTGGTTTTTTCTCAGAAAATTAGACGAATTTAAAATAAATAAGACAAACAAAGTTTAAGAGCTACGCGAAATTAACTTGCTTGACTTTAGGAATTTCATTCGTTTTTCTTTTTTCCGATACCAACTATGTATGTGCATGAAAATAAATGGTTTTGCTCTCTTTACAATTGCCACAATTTTAGTTAAATTGAACATTTGCTTGGGTATTCTTTTAAAACTTTTATATCCACTGCGTTAAAATCGTGCGCTGATTCATTTAAATGGGCGATTTAATTTAGATACAAATCAGTTTCAATTTATACAGAGTGTTTTTTAAGCATGTATGTAACCGGTAGATACCTTGTCTTTAAAAAAATCCAATTGGTAGTTAGCAAAAACGATTTTTATTTGTACTTTAGTACTTTTAAAACGACAACAAATTAAAATTGAAAAAACAACGATTTACGTTCACGTTTACAATAATATTACAATTTATAAAACAAAGAAATCAAACTAAACAGACTTGCTATTATTTATTGTTTCCAAGAAGAAATACAATTCTTAGAACAAGTTCAATCAAAAATCAAAGCTTAGAATAACTCAAATACACCCTACAATAACTGAGCTAACTTTTATCGTTGACAATGAGAGAGAAAAAAAAGAAAAAAATTAAGGGTAAATGTTTATAATTGAGTGAAACCAGCATACAACCCAAATGCATTTTCGTAAAAAAGAAAAATAAAACAAAAACCTTATTTATGTGTATGAAGTACGCGTAATTTTTTACTCTTATTTATGATACAAGCTGAAGTTGACACCATACAATAATAACTATTAAATTTACCAAAAAACGCTTGGAAATTGTTATTGGAGCATTTTTTTTTAAGTTGTTTGTTTCGTCATTGTATTATTTATTTGTGGTTTCTTTCCCGGGTAGCAGAGGATCGTCAAAGTGACGTCATTTCCGAGTCATAAGTGGTCAAACCTCGTCAGTGGTTGAAAAAACACGTCAAATTGACGTCACAAAAGGATGTGTTATTAAGATTCCAAAATGACCACAGAGTGTCGTCATAAAATGACTTGATCAATTCCAGATATTGACTTTAAACTTAATTTAAATTAATATCAACTTCTATTTAAAACCATGATGTAGGAAAACATATCCAGAGAGTGTCCAAATAGTGTGTTAAACTTATATTTTTTAAATGGACCAATCTGTATATTATGGCATTAATAGATAGTCCCTTTTATACTCACGCAATATAGGGTTGTTATAATCTATACTGAGTTTTTTGCGGATTTCTGAACGTTTTGTTTAGTACCTTAAATTTGTGACGTCGTTTACGACAGCTCTAATTTTATTATGCCAACAATTTTATAAACTTGCCTTGAAGTTAGTTCGAATCGTTTATACTCCGTGACCCAAAAGAAAAAATATTCATTTTAGTGAACAATTTTACTTTAATTATTCAATTTTTTAAAAGAAAGGCTCATCTTTATTCTATGTAATTTAATTTAATTTACTTACTTTACTTACTTTAATTAACTTTCGATTTTGCCCACTCGAAAAAGAAAAAAACAATTTAAAAACCCTTATATTTTTCGGCAGTAATGGCCAAAATCTTAAGTAGACGTACAAAAAAAAATGTCACTTCAACGACAAAAATTGACGATACTAATTAACTTAATTACATGATTCGTCCTGTTGAGGTTATATATCATATTTTCTTCATTTGGTTAATGACGTCGTTTTGACGACCATCTGCTACCTGTGTTGATTTTTATTTACTTAATTAATACCTAAAAGATAACGATTTTCTGCAACCCTGTCCACTTTACGGAGCACAATTCGACGACAAAACAGATAAATGCAAAGAAGTGACAAAGGCAGAAAGCATAAAGCAACCCCGCAAGCTTGCTCATGTCGATGTTTTGGTGACGCCGTTTGACGTACAGGTCGAAAAAGTTCGCCATGTATCGGTTTTCGGGCTTTCGCGCGGCCTTGGTCATCCAATGGTAGACCAACCCGTTTTCAAAATATCTGGCAATTTTCCGATCAATGGCCGTTCTGAAGGGCGAGTTTTGTTGCAGCGCTATCGTCGAGTATATCGGACCGGCGCACTCTCGTATCTTCCTCAAGTGCGTGCGTCCATACTCGTCCAATTCTTCCAGCTCCGTGAAGATCCGGTTAAACAATACCGCGAACAATCCGAAATCTTTATTTCTTATTCTTTTGGAAGAAGTGACGGTGTCATTGTTAATAATTGCGTTCTTAGCGATGGAAACGAACGTCTGATCTTGACTACGCGTAAACCACTTCGGGACGGAATCCAGAGGTTCCCATTTGATTTTATATTTTACCATGTCCTCGAACGAGTCCACGTAGTTTGTGGAAAATCGTGGAAAATTAAGCAGGTATGTGATTCCGGCTGAGTGGTAGGAAAATACAAGGGCGGATGCGATCCAAGACAATACTCGCAGGATCCTGAAAAACACGGATAAAGTTGGCAATTTGATGACCTTTGATGTAGTCCACCAGATGGCCAAATATATAATCGCGACCGTAACAATAGCCGACCAAGTTTCGACGGCGAAAGGGTGAAGTAAGAACGTGGAACTATCTAGAAGCTCTGGTTTGTGCACCAAGAAGGTGTAGCAAGTGGCAAAAATCTGATGCGAGCATTCCAAACTGTTGTTTAATATTTGCCAAATCCATAGGTTGCAAATGCCGATGTCGATTTTTTTGTTCCGCATCCCGTCCTGCAATTCTGTGTACAGGTTTTGCCGAACTTTCTTGTGGCGCTGCTTAAATACTACGTATTTGATAGGCCATCCTTTCGTAAGTTCCTTAATTAATAAGTATTCGATACCATCGATTCGGGTGTCGGTGACTTCCACGAACGGTGGGCAGTTAAATGTGCCGATATTTATATATTTTCCGGTGATATTTTTGTACTGTTTCACGTCCCAGTGTTTACGGGGTAAAGTCGCGTTAGCGGCAAATACGATAGCGCTTGAATTATCAGACAGGAACGTGGCTCGGAAACGTCGATCCGTCGTTTTAATTAATATAACAACCTCAAGGGCCCTTTGGTACACCAGTACGTGATTAATGGAAATCGCGTCGTCATTTTTCGCGAAAACCAAAATCAAACTTCCTGCTCTCATATTGCCGATCATCGTGTTCAAAAGTACGACAGAGGTTGAGATGACGTAATTTTCGCAGTGCAGTTTCGGTTGGCTGCGAGAAAAGTTTGCATTTATCGCTGGAAACGCCATGACGGCTTGAGCAATAGCGTCGCTATCGCTATAAAAGCACAGATGGTTCCGACCTATGTTTCTTTTGATCAATTCGCGAACTGTATTTAATGAATCGACGGTTGTCAGCACATTAACGAAAAACAGAAACGCAGTTAATTTAATATGGACCATCATGTTTCACAATCGGAGCTGTAAACGACAATAAAGTTTTCTATCCTTTCGGAAAAACGAATAAGTGTACGTTTAAGTGGCTGTAAAATAGGATATACGAAAAGGAAAATTTCGTCGTTCTGATCAGCCATTAGCTAAAGTTTTTCTTAATGACAGATGTTCTTTCAATTTCAGTTCGACGGAAAAAAACAGAAATAAAAAAACTTCTTCCATTATCCGATATCCCATTATTTTTGGAAAAAAAATTCTTTTTAACTTCTAGGTGAGGGAGGGATAGTTCATATTAAGGAAGAAAATGTTTTATTTCGATTATTAATACCTACTAACAACATCTTGATTAGGTCTAAATTTATCACCCATGCGATTGAAAATTGTGGAGATTTAAGTCGGTTTTAACCTCCATTTTGGAATGTATGAAAATCTTCAAAATAGTCGTTTTTGATTTCTACAGGGAAAAGCACTTTTTATGATTGAAAAGGAGTGCATTTTTTTATTTTGCCGGCCGTTTTTGAATAAGAAATTAGGAAATGTACTGTTTTAAAGATCAGTATGACGTTTTTAAAGGCATATTTATCATCCAAGATTAAGTCTTACAAGGGTCTTTTCGCAGTTTTCCGCAATTAAAATAAAATTATTCATTTCATAGCGTTGCAGGGCGATCTAATTGATATTTAAGCAGGTATAAGTAAAATCATGGATCTTTAAAAACTTATTTTGAATTGAATTTGAATGTACCCTGTGTTTAGTTTCCAAAATATGTTCATTATTGAGAAAATGGTTCTGCGAAAATCCTTACGTCAACATTTTCATTGTTTGGCAATTTTCATAATTATTATTTTTTTGCTCGATAACAATTGAAGATACGAAAACCACTCGGGAGTCAACTAGAACTTTACTAGACTAGACAAGGCTAGACTTTTCCATTTTAAGTTTATAATAACAAGAAAAAAATGTAGTTCAGTAGTAAATTCTGACAATTCAAGTTTAGCAAAAAAGAAGTACTTGTAAAGCTTTGCTCTAAATCAGTTACTTTGATTCTGTATTCCACCAGTATAGATCTGCTGAACTAACCAAAACCAATATCGGAGTAATTTGTGCAAATGATTTTGAGCACACTTTTTGCACACTCTAAATATAACCATACAAATTCTGAATACTGAGTTTAGATATATTTTTAAGTTAACACATTTTTATTCAAAATATCACTAGAATATCATTGCAAGTGTGCTTCTCGTCACCGAGTGCCATTAAAAAGTTTGAAAGGCAAATGGTCTAAACTCACACGAATAGTGACTTGCTGTTGTTGTTTGCCTATGGTTAGGACCTACTTCAATTTTTTAAATTTGAAATACAAAATTTCGCAGGCGAAACTTATTAATGCCAATACATAGCCAAAAGCTAACAGGTAACATAAACCAATTATTTTACCTATATCGATATTTTGATGATATTGACTAACGTAGAGAACAAAAAAATTTCCCAAATATCGATTTTCCTTCTTGGTGCTCGATCGAACCGACCAAAGTTTGATCAGTCCGTTCTCAAAATAAGTCTGAATTTTTGCGCTAATTGGTTTCGTAAATGGCGAATTTCTCTGAAATCCAACCGCGCTGTAAAACACTGCCATACAGCTTGGAATCATACGCAAATTATATCGACCGTATTCGTCCAAATCCTCCACGTTTAACGGGTATTTGGAATCGGTCAGTTGAGTGAAGAATGCGTAATCACCTTTCCTCATTCTTTTATTAAAAGAGGAAGTGTCGTTGTTCACGTTAAAATTATTGGCAATCGCCACCATCGTTGGATCTTCCGTGCCCAAAAGCCATTGCTGGAATGTATCGTCAGGTTCTTCCCATTTAACGTTGCGCTTTACCATATCATCGAAAGAGTTAACGTAATCTTTCGAAAAGCGAGGGAAGTTCAACAGGCTGGTACAACCAGCTGAATGATACGAAGAAATAAGCGAAAACGAAACCCACCATAAGATTAGCAGCGCTTTATATGGGACCGACCTGTTGGTCGCTTGAAGTGCGAACAACCTCAGAATCGAACAAATCGCCAAGCTTACCAGCGCCAATATCCACGTTACAACGGAAAAAGGATGAAGCAAAAACGTACGATCGTTCAACAACTTTGGCTTGTGCACCAAAAACGTCTCACATATGCTGAACGTTGCTACCGAAAAATCCAATCCGACCTCGAAAAACTGTCTCTGCCAAAGAGCGCACACGGCTATGTCCAATTTCTTTTTCTCCAGTTTCTCAACCAACAATTCGAAATTGTTTCGTCGGAATTGTTTGCTGCGCTCAAGTAGGACGTAGTCGATGGGCCATCCCTTAGTAACATCCTTAAGCAAGGAATACTCTATTCCGGTGTATCTTGAACCGTTTATTTCTATAAAAGGAGGACAATGGAACATACCCAGCCTTATACGTCTCCCGGTAATATTTTTAAATTTCCTGGGGTCCCACACCTTCGACGGCAATTTCATTGCATTCTTATCCAACACGGTACTGACGTTATTAACCACGAAGGTGACTGTTAGCTCTGTATCAGTTACGTTTCTTATCAAAACGATATTCAGCCCCTTTTCGTATACATTTTTATAGTTCACGGATATTTCTGAGTCTACGAAAAACAAGATCAGACATCCAGCCCTGAAATTGTTCAAAACAGCGTTAAACTGTTTTTCCGGCATGGAAATGACGTAACTTTGGCAGTAAAAAATGTGACCGTTAGCGGATAAATTTAAATTCACTGCTGGAATGCGCGACTTCATCAGTGCCGATGAAACGATGTCGTTTTCGATATGAAAACATAGACGTTCCTCGCCAGTATTGCCTCTTATAATATTTTCTATTAACGAACAATCGCAATGCACAATGAACGCAAGAAATAATGCTTCATGCAACCATTTCATTTCTGGTTGAAACTGTTTCCTAAATTCTCCGACCGAAGAATATACTTAATACAAAACTTTTTATTGAGAAAATACTGTAATTTTTTCTGGAGAACTTTTGTTCAACTTTTTACTATATCGCTAACACGTCGTACGGAAAACTATTCAATTTGGAGATATTATTTTTCCACTCATATATTACCGATTACTGATCGGAAATATGCTTTGTTTCGTTTACTTAGCATTTTGAATCGATCTCTTACAGGCAAGTGCGGATAAGTTGCCGGTCACCCCCTTTGCTTAGCAAAATTTCGAAACTGGCTACGTCACTGAAATATATTGATAAAGAAAAATAGCATGCCCTAATTAACTCGTGCAATGCAATGGGCAATGGTCACAACATTGTTGCGCAAAGAACAACCTTTCATAGTCTGTGCTGTAATTTTATTCTCTCACTGACTTCACAGCTGACAGCTTTGGTAAAATCTTTGATTCATTTTATTTAGGAAATTTGTATTCCCTTTAGCTCTTAACATAATATCAAAAGCAAATTAAAGCTTTTATCAAGTTTTGAATTTTTCATAATTGGAACCAAAAAATGGCTTCGGAGAGTGCCGATAGCACGAAAAATAAGAAACCCTCCGGTAGGTGCCTGTGTAGATTTAGTGAGTCACTTTAAGGTGGTGCTTTAATTAGATTATAACGTCCATTTTAATTCAGCTGATTATTGATATTTCCTTTCTAACTCACCTACTTATGCGCAAGATATAAATTTTGTTATATTATAGCTGGCATTTTTTGCTTTTTGCAGATAGCGCCTTCAAGCAGCAAAAGCTACCGGCATGGCAACCAATTTTGACTGCAGGAACTGTTCTACCTACGTTTTTTGTAATAGGAATTGCGTTTATACCTGTTGGGATAGGATTATTATATTTCTCAGACGAAGTCAGAGAACACATTATCAACTACACAAACTGCATGGAAACTATATTTAATGGTACAGATGCTGAATATTCTTGGTATACAACCAACAGAACTTGCATTTCGGTTATTCAGAATAAGTCGGAGACTTGTTACTGTAGGATACCGTTTACTCTTAATGAACATTTTGAGGTAAGTAGAACTCAAAACAAAATCAGGTCAGTCAACTTTAAGTGCATTTTTAAGTTTCAATTATTTTTGGCTAAAAACAATCACTACTGATTTAATTGTCCTTATAAATGTAAATAATCTCAAGACACATATAATTTCTCATAAGCATCTGACATTGAACTTCTCTTCCCCTAAACATTTATGAATATTTTAAATGTGTTTTTAGGGTAAGGTTTACATGTATTATGGTTTAAACAATTTTTATCAGAATCACAGGAGATATGTTAAATCAAGGGATGATAACCAGCTCTTGGGCAGGCTTGGAATGGAGCCCTCACGTGACTGCATGCCCTTTGATTATGTTATAGAAAATGATGTGAGACATCCAATTGCTCCGTGTGGAGCTATTGCAAATTCAATGTTTAATGGTACATTTAATTTTATTGTTTGCAAAAACTTAAACTGTTGGTAGAGTGCTATTGATCATGGAAAAAATCAAGTAAATATATGTGAATACTTTGTCGAACCATGATAAAGCTTAATATCTATGTCAGAATTTTTATTTGTTATACTATTCAATTCTTCCATGATTTGATTTCAGATGTATTACAAATGGCAATGTGGGTGGATAAATCACTGGTAAATGTTTCATTATTGAATACGGGCATTGCTTGGGAATCAGATAAAAATATAAAATTTAGAAATCCTCCTGGGGATTTGGAAAAAGCTTTTGAGAACTATCGTGCGCCGAAGGATTGGAAAAAGCCAATTCATAAATTAGATCCAAAGAATCCTGACAATAATGGCTTTCAAAATGAAGATTTTATCGTTTGGATGAGAACTGCTGCTTTGCCAAATTTCAGGAAACTGTATAGAAGAGTCAATCACACCCAGCAATATTTTAAAAATGGTTTGCAAAAAGGAGATTATCTGCTGACAATTGAATACAGTAAGTTAAATAAATAAAGCTCTATACACTGTATTGGTAATTTATTTGATTAATTTGGATTTTATTATTTTATAAAACAACAATTTTGTGTTATGTTTAAGTTAAGTGATGGTTAACTCCTATTCAAGGTCTTTATTGGGATTATGTTTATTTTTTAATTGTAGATTATGATGTGAGTTCTTTTGATGGTGCGAAACTAATGATTTTAAGCACAACTTCATTGTTGGGAGGCAAAAATCCATTTTTAGGGATCGCATATATTGTGATTGGGTGCATATGTTTGTTACTTGGCATAGCATTGTTGTTTATTCACATTAAATGTGGAAAAAGGTAAAATACCAACTGGTTCAAGTTTATGGGGCACTAATACCTGATTACTTTTTTTAGCACCAGTGAAATGATCAATGTTAATCCAAGAACACCATACCAAAACTAGGAGAATGCTTCATGTGATGTACAAGTGACTTCAGTAAGAGACTAAGTTTAAAGCTGTAGATTTTTATGGTTTTTGTTGTCCTAATAGGTAAAATAGTTTTATTGACATAAAATATAAAATTTGCACTAATTTGTGAACTAAGTGTCCTTGGTAATTTAAGATCACCATTAGAATTCAGTTTGATGTTAGGTACCTATTAAGCAAAAATAAATGTTGGCACATAAAAGTTCTCAGTTATAACAAAATTAAAAAGGTCACTGGTGTTACATCCATCGATAAAGATTAAATATGGCTGGGATAACAAGTTACGAGCTTTTGTCCAGATTTTAAATAGTTTAAATCTATGTAGTCTACCTACTGTTTATCACGGTGAGTTATGAATTATTTTAAAAATTACTGCCCACTATTTTGTATTGGATTAACAAATGCAAAAAATAATTAATTTAATATTTTTTGTATGATCCACTGATATAATGGTCTGATAGGAGGGAACATTGCAATACTTACCTAAATGTTCAGTGCCTTATTTGTCCCATAACACAAACAAGAAAGATGGTCAAAATTTTTCCTAAGTATTTGCCATTATCAATAAGTTTAATTAATTTGCCGCTGAACATTTGGAATTATATTATTGCACCGCAATTAATGCCAAAGAGTTAAATTTAAGTTTTGTTAAAATAAAAACTGTCAAACTGTCAACACATTCTACAAAAAGGATATATGTTTCTGCTAATGTTTTATTCATAACAAAATTTTGGAACCTTATTAATAAGTACTAGCTTTTAGGTGGGTGGCAGCAGTATAATAATAAAAATTCATAAAATTTATCATATTGCTTTATTGTAAATTTATTAAATATGAAAGGACAACTTATAAGTAGATAAGTAGAAATGACGCCCCTTGTTTTTAATTGTGTGAGTAGGTTAAGAATTTTGTGATATACTTTATATTTCTTACATAGGTTATTTTACCAAACAAATAATCAAATCCATTTATTATTTATTATTATTTCACATTCCCTTAATGCAAAACATGCAAAATTATCCATTTTAATTTTTCAAAGAAACTTCCACAGGCTACTGTAATAGTTTTTACAAAACTTCTGGATTTCTCCTGCGTCGGTTTTTGCTGAGTCAAAATTGTTGACGTTTCGCCAACCATCCTGTTGGCTTCTTCATAACTACTACTATACTCTATAAGCAGCTATAGACTAAAATACAAGCCAGTTTCAGGCAAGCTCTGAAGAAGCCAACAGGATGATTGGCGAAAAGTCACAAAGTTCAACTCACCAAACCCCGACGCTGGGGGAATCCAGAAGTTTTATGTTTATCTTTTTTATTTACATAATTAACTTGTAGTATTGGAATTGTAGTTTATGTAAAAATAAATGTATTTAGTTATAACATTGGTTTTATTGTTAAAAATACATCATCTAATAATATATGTATATAATATTTAATATAAAGCTGACTAAAATTTAAACCGTTTTATTACAATAAATGATATACTGATATCTTCAATAAATGAGTCTTATCAGTGATCCTCGGCCTCAAGGCAGTTGGAGGATTTGAGTGAAAAAACAGCATATATTAATATTGCACAAAATTGTATTTACATTAAAGTAGCAATACAACCAGCAATCTGAAACCGTTTACAACGGTTCCTTTGGAAAAAAAATGCAATTTTTGTGTTATCTTGGTGGGGAATCCAAAACGCTCCAGTCGCTCTTTAAAATCTTTTTTGGTCTAGTATAAATAGTACCACTATCCACATTAAACAATTTTGGAGCATTTAATAAAATCTTTTCTGTAACGTTAACGATTTTTTCTTTTATCAACTTCATCATTGCTTCATTAACAGCTGGATCTTCATGTTCGACGCACGCTTGAATGGCTTTCGGTTTCAAAAAATCTATCAGTGCCAATCCTTCCTCATAGGAAGCGTGTGTCGAATAGCAAACATAATAATAGTTGCATTTTTCATTTGCAACCGATAACCCATCTTTAAAATTATAATCCCTCCAACGAAACGCAGAGATTTTAATTGTTCTTAAATTATTTGGGCTTATGAACGGGCATATATCTTTGTCTCTATAATAACAACAATGGATTTGAGTAGAGGCCCCGTCTTGTGTTACTGCTTTATCTAACTCTGGGATGAGAGAATAAAATTTGAAATTTTCATTGTTGACGTGAACTGGCATCTTACAACGTTCGTATATTTCCTTAAAAGCATATTCATATCCATAGCGAGCTTTGGTATCAATTCTAACTGCGTTATCTGGCGATTGGCTTGTCCAATTTAGAATTATTTTAGATATTTCCATCATGCTATCTTCCCGTTTGGGTAATGATTCAAAATTCTTTAAAAAGAACGTTGTATCTAAATAAATTTTATCTATACTTTTGACATTATTAAATGAGTCGTAAAAGCACTTGAACTTGCTTATATCTGACGTACCAATTCTGTAGTCCCCAGTATACAATATTCTACAATCTGATACTTCAAACAAAAACATTACCGATCCCGGACAATGACCAGCTGGTATACAAGTTACGGAAATGCTTTTATTATTAACTAAAATTGAAGTACTAAATTCTATAGACAATTCTTTGAGTAGTCCAGATATGTTTGGACACATCCCATTTAATATCGCCCGGGAAACGGGAGACACATATATAAATTTTTTCTCATTTTTTATTTTTTCTTGAAAATGATGAGCAAATAATCCTCTCATATGGTCTGTGTGACAATGAGAAAGAAAAAATGCCTGGGAATTCAAATTGTCCCCGTCAAATCGATCCACACTAATCTCAGGTATCTCTTCAATTTTCCCGCCGAAAGTACTCATAATTGTTATTTGAAATTGGCGCGTCGCCGGAAATGCGTCGTAAAAATGGCAACTGTTTTGGCGGTTGTTGTCTTTTTAGGTTACTGGTCCAGTTAACCTAATTTTGGGGATTTCTAAACCTTCAAAAAATTGCGTAAGTGTTATTTTACAGTTAAATTTATTCCGCCCCTCAATAAAATTGAAGTAATTCGGGCTTACCATGAAAAGTTTCCAAATTTTTACCATATCGTTTTCGACAGTTATCGTTCAACGTCGAGCAGCCATTTGCCTACGGAGAAGTTGGTCGACGCTGGCTTTTAGCGAACTTGGTTAGGTTTTCTTATTTTGAAAGCTACATCTAAGTAAGTAGTTATCGCACATATTTTATATTTAAACTAGACGTTTCTGCTTTCGAAAACGAATTTTAGAAGTTGTAGCCGAATTAAATTATATTAATTTCATTAGTGATGTAATTTTAATATCCTTTCTTTCCATCGGGTTAGGTATATAATGGACATTTACATACATGGCAGGTAATATTTCGACGCAAGCTGTAGTTAACTGAACATAATTTTCAGTTCAGAAACACTCTGGGATTAGATTTTGCCCTGGATTTTATTGTTTATGTTTTTTCAAATGTAAAAATTGACGGTAACCTCAATTATGCATAACCTCACTTGTCAAAATAGTCTTAACCTTAAGTTTTTTGGAAGTCTTTTTCATTAGGAACCAGTTTTTCTTGGATCACTAAGGAAATAAAGTATTTCGTGTTGAAAATAAGCGTTTTGATTGCACAATTATAAGAATCATTTTGGATTTTTGGTATAAGCAATTCAGTAACTACAAATTATAAGTGAAAACTTCTTTGTTTTTTTCTTGTACCTTTCTGCTTACACCTATTGAGAGCTAGCGGTTGCACTAAGTCAACTAACGTGACAAATAATATTCGTAATAAAGTTTTATACTGCTAAAAAGGTATGTATCATGAAAAAGTGTACAGTTCTTGCAAATTTTGCTTTTAATATATAAAAACACATCAATAGTAGGCAGCAAAATAAAATTGTGTTTAAATCTACATACAATATTTATATAATTTTGACAAATGGTAAACAATATTTTCATTTTAATTAGTATTAAGATTTGATATACCCTTTTGCAGACAAATTTGCTTAATACTCCGCATACACAAAAATATTATAATATAACAATATGTAATTGATAATAAGATACCTTAAATCTGTAATTTGAGAATTTTGTTACCATCAGTTTGATTTCCTTATCTTTTTGAAAATGTCTTACTTATACCTTTGTTTATTAAAATGACATGGATTGGCAGCAAGAATTATGGTAAAGAATAACAAAAGCTGCAATAAAGTATATTTGGTTGTATATTTTAAAAGCTTGCTGTTGTCATTCTACTCCAGAAAATATAAGTTCAAACATTTTAGAAGCTTTCACAAACAATGTAAGATGGAGGAAAGTTTCGGTCTGACGTGGGAGGATGCCACCACTGTGGTTCAAACAGAGGAGGTAATTTGTGGCATGGAAAATGAGATCATTCCAGCCGAAAGTGAAGAATTCACTGGCGGAGTAGTCGAGGAGGAGGTGATCCAAGAAGATGTTCAAAATGAACCAGAAATTGGTCAGCAAACTGATAATGGCAGTATTATGTATTTGACAGGTATGTTTCCTTTCCACGGCTTTGTTGTTTCTTAATCCAATCATTTGCGCTAATTACAATATTTATTTTAGTTTTGTCATTTTCTCTTCTTTATTTTTAAAAGTTAACAGTCCATGAAAAGTTGTAGTTTATTCAACTTTCCTAACGGAAATACTCCAATTTTATTGAAAGTGGTTTCCAATTTTGTTAATGAAATAATTTCCATACATCTTTACTGGTTACCCAAAGATATTTATTTATACCTATAATATATATGAAAACCTAACAAAAATGAAGTCTTAAAGCCTTTAATGATGGCTGACATCAATTGTCAACTATCAAATTGACTTCAATTTGAATACGTAATCAAAGTTGCATGTAAAACTTTGCTTTATTAGATGGCAATGTCTTGGTGATGCAGCAAACTAATTCAGAAAACTATCCACAAGATGATTTAATGGAATTTACAGAAGAAGTAATAACAGATCAATGGGGGGAAAGTTGCCCTGAAGAAATTATAGTTGGATCTGAAGAGGCAGTGGGCAATGTTGATGGTCAAAATGCTGAAGATTGTGATATCCCACTTCCAACAGATCAAGATGAATACACTGCCGCCAGACCATATCCATGTGATTTTTGCAGTAGGAGATTTCGCAAAAAGGCCAATCTTATGAACCATATGGTGGCGCATCAGACAGATAGGCCCCATGGTTGTAATCTGTGTGGTGTCAGATATATCCGCAAGTCTGATTTAATGAATCACTTGAAAACTCATGCATATATCCCAGATGCAGAAGTCCTGGAAGAAGAGGAGGAACTCTCTGCAAATGATAATGATTTTGATAAGGCCAGAAAAAAACAAAAATCTTTAGGCAAACGAAAAAGAAAAAAAAGTTTGAAAGATTTTGAAATTTATGAAGCTAGCGGAGCAGGTATGTGAAAATAATTCTATAGTATGCTTCATGTTCTACTTTACTAATGAAAATTAAATTAAATTTTTGGGATTTCAGTTGCTTCAAGTTCTAATTCATACAATTACAATGAAGACATTGGGTTAATTGAGGAAGTACCTAATAGCTCGGATTATCTCGGTACTCAGGAAGAGGAGATCCGATACCCAATAACAGATCCAAAAAAGCCATTTGTTTGCCAGCACTGCGGAGTGTGTTTTGCAAGGGAAAAAGCACTGGCGTCCCACGCCAGAATTCATGGAGGCGACAGCCCATTTGAATGTCAAAAATGTGGCGAAATGTTTTGGGACGTGAATTTAATGCGGGAACACGCGCGGTCTAAACACGGAGAAATGGAGGACTTTGATGATGATGAGGACGATGATTATTCAGATTCGGAGGGGACAAAATATGGTACATTCTATTGTGCCACTTGTGGGTTGTCATTTCATAGACAAGACAATCTTAAACGCCACCAGAGGGTACATATTAAAGAGGAGTGTGTAACTGAGCAGGATTTTGGGCACATTTGCAATGTATGCGGAGAGTCTTTTCAGGTATGGGAAATTTAAGAATAGAAGCAAATAGTATTTGCATAAAAATAATATCACAGCAACGATAGAGCTTGTCATTTTTTTTGTGAGAGTTGAAAGGCCGCAAACAAAATTATGCATTTTTGTTCCTGAGATACAGGGTTTTTGGGGTGGCAAAGTATTTCGGACACTGTAAAATAAGGTAGGAACTGCTAAAAAATAGATATTTTGATGTAGAATCCCTACTGGTGTAGTCAACAAATTTTGTAGACACACTGTTTTCGAGATGTAGCCCAAAAATAGTATTTGTATTTTTTGGTTTTCACATTTTTTCCTCTCTAAAATCATCATGTACGGTAAGTAACCCTTAAAAACGCAATATTATAAGAAAAATGTATGTTGTCCATGAAATTATAGATATTAAAGTGACACCAAGCAAATTAAACAAAATAAATAATTATAACCATTTTTTACTATGAACGCGATATACTTAATTATCTTGATAAAGTTAATGATAATAGTAAATAGATTCTACATGACTTAAAAATACTATTCTTATAACATTCATCATTATCTTACCTCTATTTGCCAAAGATCTAAATGCCTGAATGATTGCATTTTGTAGCGGCTCCACAGTATTGACTGGATTGATTTATTTTTATTAAGGAAGACCAAATAAAAAAAAATAGGTCAAATGACTGGTCCATTTGTACTAATCCAGAGATTGTCATAATTTTCAAACAGAAAGAATAATTTGTGCTTTGTGGGCAGGAGCGCCGTCCTGCTGAAAGTTAATATTGTGGATATTTGCTAAGGGCATGTTGTACTATAAATCTGGTAGTGTTTGATTTAAAATTGTTAGATATTTAGATATTTAATTTAATCCTTGTTCCCTATATGAAGCAAGCTGCGCTAAATCCAAACCTTCTTTCTTGTCGACATTCTCTTGTTAAAAAATTATTTTCCGCATACCAATGTCTTACCACTACAACTATTGTGTCTTTAAGGGCTACTTTACATCAGATTTGCGTGTGATACAAAAGGAGAATGTTACCTTTTTTTCTATCTTACAGGATGTCCGAAATATGATACTACCCTCAAAAAGCGCAAAATATCTATTTCACCCCGTATCTCGGGAACAGAACAAGGTGAAATAATTCTGTTCGCGGAATTGAAAACTTAACTAAAAAGTGATACCCTGTCATTAAAGCAATTTGGGATATAATGTTCATAACATGGATGATACATTTATTTTGTTCTTCTAATTGGAAATTTTTGGTACAGGAAGCCCTTGACTTGCTGGCTCACGCGGAAGTCCACGCTCGAACATCCGAGCATCGTTGCATGGTTTGTGGTGAAATTTGTCTCGATGAAAATGTACTTGCGAATCACGTACAAATTATCCATAAAAAATTACCTCCTAATACTTGTATGCTGTGCGGTCGCACTTGCAAAGACGGTCGCATCCTTTTGAAGCACTCATGGGAACATTCGAAGGTAACTTTAACCGGAACATTCGTTCCGGTCTAATCGTCAATGAGAATTTAATTTCTATTTAAAAACACTGTTCTTTTTGTACAGGAGAAAGCATTTGCTTGCTCAAAATGCGCAAAGACCTTCCACAACAAGGCCCGATTGAAGAGGCACATGCTTTCGCACAGAAACAAGGCGGTGTCTTGCGATGTCTGCGGCGAGGATTTTCCCGACGGAAGGGGCCTGATGAATCATAGGCACAGCCACAGCAGTGTCTCGGGGCGGCAGTTCCCTTGTCGAGAGTGCGGCAAGACGTTTGGTTCTCGTAGTTCTCAACAGATCCATATCAGAATACATACAGGTACACCATTTTTCGTCTATTATTTATTTGTTTATTTTAATTTTTACTTCAGTTTAATACTGATTTCTAATAAGTTCTATTTACATTTACAAACGTACATTAATTACATATGAAAATTTACACACACTTTATACTACCGTATTATATTAATCTAACTCAAGTAACTAAACTCAACAAACTATGACTCAAACAAATTGGACATCACAAATGCATAATAATTTAATATAAAATGAATATTATTATTAAATAATCATATATCAATCACTATACAATTGTATAATGTTATTTGAAACATTTTTTGGCTAGTCAATTAAGAAGTTGTCAATTAACCCAACACTATTTATTTCTAGGCGTGGATACTTGTCTATTCGTTAATGTTCTAGTTGGATACAGATAGCTGATTGGATTTATAATGACTTTATTTTGATAAATATAACAAAAAATGTATAGCAAGCGAATGTCGTTAACTTTTTCCCTATAGAGAGGATTTGTTGGATATGAGTGATGTTTTTTGTAAATTATTTTTAGTCTGTAAAACCTATCTACTTACATTCTTAGAAGGTCTGTAGCTGTTCAACTACTCCTTTACGTTGTAAAATTCGTTGATTGCCAGGGCTTTCGCACCGTCCCTGCTAAATAGCAAAACAGTATCGTCCGCATATAAGATAACTCCCATTTATCTTGAACAATGTCAGTCCCTTAATCCATAGATTAAAAAGTGTTGGTCCTAGTACTGGACCCTGCGGTATCCCTATGTGTGTATAAATTCAAAATCCAATTTTAAAAATCTTCTAAAGGATCTCCCCTTTGAGCAAATGTTCATGTTAGCTCTTTTTATTTAGCCCAAATTTATGGGTCTATAAAAACTAAATATGTCATTAAATGTAAATCCGCATAACTAAAGTTTTACTGCGAAATGTGTGGCCGATAAAACGCTAATTTTGATCGAATTATATCGAATTATCAATGTGATACCCTCATTACTATAGGATTTACCTTTAAATTTTCGATGAATTTTTTGTATAGATTTTCATTATCGTATCCGATAATCTTATGTAAACTCAAATTTTGCGATTTTTTGTCTCTAAAGGCAAATTATTGCCTTTTCCCAAATTTTGCGAATTTTAAACATTTTTAATATCTCATTGAAAAAAATCCACTTATGTACGAAAATATTAACTATATTTGCCACTTGCGATTTAAACCGCTTGTGAGTTAATTTTTACTAGAAAATTCCAAGGTTGATTGGAAAACTCTACTACTCTGTACTCTACTTTCTCTTTATATGCAAGTTTTTTGGATTAAAAGAAACGGTAACTACCGTGAGATACACAATATTGTAATAATTGAAGAATTCCAAAAATATTCTTGTATATATTCTTAATTTTATTCTTCGTATTTTTAAAAACTTTTCATTTTCAAAAGTGGTCATGGTCATTTAGCTGCGTTTGTAATTCCAGGTGAAAGACCTTATGGTTGCCGATTTTGTTGGAAGGCATTTGCTGATGGCGGCACTCTGCGTAAACACGAAAGAATTCATACCGGCGAGAAGCCTTACGCTTGCGCAGTGTGCCCTAGGGCTTTTAATCAACGGGTGGTTCTTAGGGAACATATTAGATCACACCATTCAGGACCCGACCCAAAGTTTACCCATAGTTTGACACCTTTTTCTTGTGCCGTTTGTTCGGATATGTTCGCCACTTCGCAGGATCTTATCTTACATTTAATACATCATTGCGACATGAATACCGCTATGAAACGACAGCCACAAGTCGGACCAAGGAAGTATAAGAGAAGGTAAGTCCCAGAACGCATTTTAGTTTGATGTGCAAATGGTCATTTTTCAGGCGAAAACTTAAACCTCACGAACTGGATATGATATCAAATCGACAGGAACAAGAAAATTTCGAAAATGACAATTTTGAGAATGAACAGTTCTCAGAGTCTGACGAAGAAAAAGAAAGAAAGAGGAGAGCCACGAGACGGTCTTCGCGTAAATCGTCCAGTTCACCGAGGCCTAGCATCAGCGAAACTTGCGAAGACCTTTACAGCGGCGTCTCGCCACCACCCGAACATGTAAGCCCTTCAATGACCATTCCGAAATCGCCTACATCTAAAACTAAAGCAAAAAAGGGCAAAACCGAGTCGGGACCTTTACCCTCCAGACCCAAAATGATTCACACTCAAAAAACGAGAGTGCCCGTGGAACCTGGCGAGGATGGTAGAGTGAGACACAAGACCAGAACTCTAGTTACCAGGACACATCCTGCTGAAATTAAATCTGCCACAGGTGAGTTTGAGAAGAAAGTTTATTGCAAATGGTAAATATTTTTGTTGTTGCAATTTTTCCAAATTGTGTTGCATCTTATTTCTAAGCTGTTTCTTTTGTCGATCACATCAAATTAGTCGCCACGCTTACTTACGAGTTTTAATTTGTTTTAAAGGCGCAAATTTATTCTGTTTTCTTTATGTATTTTACAATAAGATTTATTGTCACAGGTCTCATGATGTTTCAAAGTGGGAACATTTTATGTCTAATGCCAGTTTTCATTAACCAATACATAATAACAAGAATATTCCGTTGGGGAATAATTGTATGACAGAATTTTATTTTGAATCTCAGACCATTTATGAATGCAGATTTATTGAGACCATTGGACTTTTTATCCTTCACAACTTGTTTTTTGGTGAAAAAAGGATTTTTTTTACTATTGAGGAAGAGCTATATTCATTACCCGATTTGCATTTATACTTCTGTGTGAGCTGGCAAATCTGTTAATTATATTAGTTTTGTTCGGTACACCTCTGTAATAAGGACGATGTATTAAATAGAGATTTAATGAGAATTTACTTTCTACAAATCATGGTGTTTATGCTGATGCTTACTTGTTTGAATTAATATATGCAGGTAGAACAATACTTTGCAGGAACCATGTAGCTGATATGTCTCATAGTTAAGGCAATTTATCTCGGTAGTAGCAACGTGACTCCTTTCATGACCCTAGCATTCAATAGTTTGCTTTCTTAAAAAAATTGCCGAGTTGGAACCCTCTATCTTTAACCATCATTCATTTATTTTTTCTATTTTTGGTCAATAGAAACGCCATACAATGTGGTTTTGTTTGCCGGTAGGGTATATTTTTGTGGATCTTATTGTTGAGATTTTGTTCTTAAATACTATAAAAATGACTTTTAATTTTAGGTGAACGAATTAGACCTCGAACAAAAAACGTCAGTTATCACATACTGACGCCGGAAAAGTATCCGGTGGCGACATTCTTGGAAAACGAGCCCCAACAGGCGGTCGAGAATCTTTTGAAACAAACCGAATCGGAATCGAACTTGCTGGAGGATCAGCAGCAGTCGACCACTAACGGGGACATCTTCGATGAACAAATCGTGGAACAAACTCCTGAGGTTGCCGCCGAGCAGATCGTCGAAGCGGAGCCCTTAGCGGCGACCGCCGAAGTGAAAAATAGAAGAAACAGTTTGAGGATCGCCCGCAGTAACGTTATAGGGGCGGGCAGTAGGATCCGATTGGTGAAAGGGGGCATGCTCATCTCGAAGGCAAAAAGAAATAGCGAAAGTCAGAGCGAGTCCGAGTCGATACCCACGTTACAGGCCGACGTTTATATAAAGCAAGAGTCGTCCCAGAACGTAAACAATACGAGCGATGGCGAGTTAAACAGCGAAACGTTTACGATCAAATCGGAAATCGCCTTGGGCCCAGCGGAAATGAACGAGTCCTCCCCCCAAGGCGAAACGAACACCCCAAACGTGGTTCACGTGAAGCAGGAGCTGATGGATCCCAGCGCGTTGCACGAGCTCGCCGAAATATCCATGCAGCACGCCAATTCCCATAACCTGTACAAGTGTGAAATGTGCGATGAGGTGTTTACCGATAGGGCGCAGTTGTTGGTTCACGTGCCCATACATATTTGATGTTAAATGTGGAAAGAGTGGGAGATTTGAATAGATTTTCAAGTTTGTTTAGTTTTATTACGCAAGATCGAGGTGAGTAACGCTAAAGCTGCCAGGCAGAAGGAGATTTTTAATTTTTAATTATGTGGATCCACTTTATCATCTGCTTCATCACCTTTCCGTTACAGTGTTTCCATAGACTGTTCGGGACGTTTTGCTTATGTAAAATTTATGTTTTTGGATAATAACACCCCAATATCTTATACAGCGATTAAAAAAAAATCATGATCTCGTAAAGTTCTGTAAGTATTTTAAAGTTTTACCAGACAGGAGATTTTTAAATTGAAAAAGTTTCCCAAAGATTCAAACAGAATTGTTGATTTTCGGAAAAAGTGTGTCTTAAGGTTTAATTTTTCATTGTTTTGCCATACACAAGCCGCTTCATTACTGTTGATCTACTGTGAATGATTAGTCAGAGAATCGGTCAAGTCAAATTAGCAATCTCAGCAAAAGATTGCACGTTCAGTATGTCTTTATATGACTTTGAAACACCCAACTGTGGTCCACATATGAAATAGAATATTTAAAATTCATTGTTCTTATTGGTATTCTACAAAATCGTGCCTATAAATGTTTTGCCTTAATTTAGCTGGTTGTAATTTCAATGTAACTTTTTTTTTATGGTTTCCAGTTGTGCACTACTATTTTAGTAGAGAAAGTGATTTGACATCAAAGTAATGATAAAACAGTTTTGGTAATATGGAAATCTATTCATATTAAGTCAGACGATAGGAAAAGATTGTATATAATCTGAGACAGTGTAAATTTGTGCTTATATCACTTATTGTAGAAGTGCTTTTTATGTAAATTTGAAGATTTTTGTAATGTCTATAGGACTCTCCATCAGACTAAATTCCTATCGGACTATAAAATCGGTATATCTATATTTTTTATATAATTTAAACTTAGGTAGTTCTACCATCAAAAAGTATATTCTTGCGTCACCCACTTTATTGCTTTATGTTAAAGTTTAACCTTTTGGGATCCAATTAGGTTATATATTTTATCACATTGCGGTTGTGTAAATATTGAAATATAAGTAGGTTTTATGAGGCTGTAATATTTGCCCCTGAATTAATGGAATAAATCTATGGTTAGGTCCTTGTTTGATTTTTATGATAACCTTTATCCTTGCGCCTTTACATTAAGTTTCAGAAAATATGTAAAAAGTTATTTAAAAAGTAAGATTGAAATGGTTAACTCTAACAATGTTAGGAAAATTTTGAAAGATAGAAAATCAACTCTAAAAATAAAAGGTAAAGGAACAAGAAATGTCAACATTTTTATGCTCGACATAATGGTAAGAGCGACAATTTGAAAGGGTCAATAAGTTCTCAAAGATGCCGATGAACCTTGGATCAGTATAATATAGAATACTAGGAAATTGTTACTTTTCCTGAAAATAAAACTGTCTGAATGTGCCCACCGGTTAGTGAATTCCATAAGACACCTGTGCCCCGGTTCGATCCCCCTTGGAGTATGCTTCATATACATAGAATTCTAAGTATCAATTATCAGGTCCAGCAACGTTATCGACGTTATATAGATTTCAAAGGCGGTTCGGATTTATTGGATTTGAAGATGGTTAAAGCTCGTCGGGCTTAGGCTGACCTAATGTCGTTGTACAAAGTTATGGTGTATGTAATTCTATGGACCTGACAAGATATTGAGGTGTGCGGACTTGTGTGGAATCTTGACGAACACGAGACTGTCTATTTGATCACCTGTTATAGATCACCAAGTGGTAAAGTGGAACTTAAAACACATATTGTATAAAATTTTTGAACCAAATTGTTATAAGCGGAGACTTTAACACCCTTTATCAGAGAAAAGTAACTTTTTTGATTTAATACAATCTTATAATCTTCACAATTACGTAAAAGATGCAACATACAAAGCGAAAGTATTAGCAAATTCATTTTCACACCACGATACCGTATTATTTAACACAGGGCTAAACTCGGGTACACTAAGCGCCCTCGTATCTAGCCAGAAATTTTAACAAAAACAGTGTGTTTTTATTTTAGATTTGGTCAGACGTCTGCAGTGCATCCGGCGGTACTGATAAAAAATTTGATGATTTTTACTCTACTTTCATGTGGTACTTTAACAGTGTTCTAGCAAACATCTAAAAAAATTAAAAAGGTTGATATGAGCAAAAAATGTCAGATAATGAAAATAATACTGCTTAGTCCATTGTGTCTGAGATAAGTGGAAGCAATAAATGGAATTTTGAGAGCAATGATGGTAGCATTAGCCAATTTTATCAACACCTTTTTTACAGAAGCTCCTAATAAAATAGTTGACAAAATTAAAACGCACAAAAATTCGGCAAGAGAAAATATCTAACTTATTCTTATGGCCCTGGCAGTGTGCCTTTTGCCTTTTGCCTTTTGCAATATGGACTATACCCTGAGTCCATTAACCTCCTCGATAAATGCATCATTGGCAGAGGAAGCTTTTCCTACAGCCCCCTAAAATTTCGCGTGTGATTCCCATCTTTAAAAAGGGCGACAAGCATTCTGCAGAAAATTATCTTCCAATAGCAATCATATCATGCTTTGTTAAAATATTTGTCAGCAAGGCTTCAGAACAGGTACATCAACCCAAACAGTGTTTCATTCATTTTTGGAGCACGCTGAGTGTAGGTATATTGTGATCTTGGTAAGGCGTTTGACTGTATGAACCACGAAATTTTGTTGAGTAGGGTGGAACAACACGGAATTCCTGGAATAGCACTGACGTGTTTTAGATTGTTCCTAACAAATCGTAGGCAGTATGTTGAAATAATGGGGAATAGCCCTCTGCTTACCTGCCTAGTTTGAGTTTATCAGAATTCACTGACAACTGTTCATGTTTAATCTCTTCACACTGTTATCAAACTCTTGAACACAGAATTCATTCAGCACTAACGAACTCTTTTTGAATGTCCAAAAAACAAGTGTACTGATATTCAAATGCGCACAAAAAAAATCTTTCTGTGAATGTCAACTCGGCCGGGGAGGACGTTCAAATAAAAAAGCACGCTAAATTTTTAGGACTAGAACTCGACGAAACCCTATCTTGGGAAACTCAATGCCAATTCCTTTTTTCAAAGCTGCACACTTATTTTTTCCTCATAAAAAAATTAAAAACTGTTTTGAATGCGAAATGCATGATAAATTTCAATTGTGCTTACATCCATTCCAGATTCCTCTATGGTTTTCCCTTTTGGGGAAATTCAAGTCATGCGATATTTGTTTTCAAATCCCAAAAGAAAGTCCTAAGGTGTATTGCTGGAGTGTCGTCGGATAGTTCAGGCCTCTCTTCAGGGAGTTTAAAATACTGCCTTTAGTGTGTTTATACATATTAGAAGTTTGTTTATGGGAGTATAAAAAGAAAAATAACTTATAAAAAAACGGAGATTTTCACGACTATAATACATGTAACAAAGACAGTTTTCTATAAAAAAGTAGACTAGAATCTACAATAAACTTTCCCCAGAGCTAAAAAATAATACAAACATTTTTAAATCCAAACTAATTTTTTTCTCCTTCAAAACAGTTTTTATAATTTAAAGGAATATTTTACTTATTAATGTAAGTTACCACTGTATTGATGTGCTCTGTCACAAATTTTTATTATATCAATTTTTAATGTCTTCTGCCTCATTTACGGAATCTATATTGTGTACACCTAATTTTGACCTACTTGACGAAATCCATAATACACCGACTGTATTCTAAATATGTGGGATAATAAAGATATTATTATTATTATTATTATACTACAGTGCCAACTATTGACGTACTTAATTTATCGCAAGGTAAAGTCAGAACGATCAGTTAGTCTTTTTCACTACCGAGGGTAGCTTTAGGAATCGGCTCTGAGTAAGCATAACATGACAGAACACATGTATACCTATTCAGCTGAAACTCTGGTCCTTTAAACTTACATTTTTCTGTTCATATTTTTTTTCTTTAACTTGTAAATATTAGCTTCAATTTCCGTTACAACTTTTCCTTTTGTTACTTGAAGAGACAAACCCGTATTCTAAATTTATAATAAATTAAAAATGTCCGAATATTTTAAAGTGAAACAGATGACAGTAGCGGCACCTTGGCGTGTTTATAATATTCCTAATAGGGGTTAAGGTATTAAAAATCCATCGAAGAGTAGAGTTCTAAAAGATCCAGATAAAGTAACATATTACACGCACGCACCTAATCGTAAAGAAAAGTCGTAGCAGTGAACTCTAACTCTAAAAAGCACATATAAAAATCTCTGTATATGTTAACGTTGTAACGTTTGTTTTATCTTAACATTAGTGCGGAAATATCCCAAAAATGTTTTTCTACTGCCTACTCTAAAATACCAAATTATGCACTGTCACTTTAAATATAACTAAGCTTTATTTAAACACCATCGCCAGCCACGTCGGTCGGGTGTGTGTGTTGTGTCTAACAAATATTACTAATTTTGGAATTTACTTGCTATTTCATTAAAATTATCATTCAAAATTAAAATGTTTTCTCAGAAAATTAAATATGAAAATAATACAGGAACAAATGAAGCAACTATGGAACAAAAATTGAGAAGGTCCATTCAACATGCTCATGCGGGAGATTTAAACTCCCGCGAAGTATTATAAATGTTTGTGAGTGGGAGTCATATATAAGGCAACACTTATCCGTGGATAAGCACATTTTTTTCCTTACAGTTTTGAGTTGGTGATGAAAAGTTTTCCAGTTGGTGATAAACACAACAATTAGAGTTGTGTCAATCGCGATTGATTCGGTCACTGGTTCTATCACTTCATAGGATCGAACGACCGAATCCCGCTTGTTCGTAAAGATTCGATAACCTTGTTCTCTCTCGCTGCCGCCCTGACCGGTCTGAATACAGGATGACCGATTGACCGACCGTACCAAAACCAATCGAATTCGTCGGAATGGTTTAAGATTTAAATGCATGACTGAGACAGGCCACTGAAAAGGAATGGAAGTATTGTTATAATTATTTTATGGTATTGAGTTGCGACATCGATTGGTAGATTTGCTTATGTGTTGAATTGAATATTGAATAATATTGAATGAAATATCTATTTTCACAGAGGCATTTAATTTAAACAAATTAATGTATTACTGGTACACCCCAATACGTAGCACCTATTTTGATAAAATCATGAGTCAATAAAAAGCAGAACACAGCTAAATATTATAATAACTAGAACAGAAAACATAACATATAGACACAACAATAATTCAAATTCAAATGAATCTGAATCGGTCGTTCGGACTGTTCGGATTCAGTGACTATTGCCGGTTATGTTGGCATCCAAAAGTATTGAAATGAACGACGATTGATTGAAATGATTCGGTCCTCGAAAAATGAACGATTGACACAAAACTACTAAAGATTGCTAGTGTTCTGTGACAATAGCAATAACACGGCTTGGCATTGCCAATAATATCCGGATTTCAGAGACTGATATTGCGTTTTGTTTTCTGCCAAACTTATAATGTCGTAGCTCGTAACCGTAACTCAGTCAGTTGGGAGCTGAGGCATGCGCGAATGATCATTCCCAACTGCACGCTTTGTCGCATATTTAAGGCATCGTAGCTTAGCACAGAATAGCGGAAGAACTAAAGAGGAAAACTATTTATATACTCTTCCAGCGCGTTTTCGTTAGTTTTCCTTTTTAAATATGAATTCAGCAGCTCAGTTATCAATCTTACTTTTGGATTCGGAATCAGACTCGGAAATAGGTAATATTATAAATGTTATAGATTTGGTCCAAAACGCATACGAAATCTGTTTTGAAAAACGATTATTTAAGGCAAGGAAGCACTCATGGGGAATTTAATTTATTAAATGTAATAAATGATAACCAAATGAGAATATATTTCTGAGTAACTAAGTAAACTAAGGTTATTTGCTATTTTATGTTTAATAGTAATAAAAAGTATTTAAACCGTATCATTTGAGTATCTAAGTTCGTTGCTGCATGCAATATGTGCACTGTGTTTACGTGCGTTGCAAAAAGGTTTCGCATGCTCGGCTGCGCTGTGTTGGGCTACGGTGCCCTCAATGTGCGGCTAGCCTAAATATAATGTTTTAACCCGAATTGAAACACTTCTGAGCATACGCAAACCCGCACAAACGCGAAGATTCACAAAAATTCAAATGTTTATGCTAAAAGTGACTTACCATGCTAGAGTTGGTTTTTCTCAAATGGAAAGCACTGTTGTCGACATAGACTCATATTTGACCAAACTTCAGAGCAGCCATGACTTTCGGCTTGTCTAAATCTGTCTAACAAATAAAATTGCTCGCTTACGTCAGTTAGAAACGTAAAATTCAATTAAGTCTTACTTAATAACATGAGTAGCAAGTTTAAAACCATTGTTACAGGAACAGTGAAGAAGTACAGTTTAATTTCAGTATTTCTTGGAACGGTACTTGTCGTGCCATCTATGTTCTACAGGCGAGTTATCGACCGATCTAAAAGCACAGACCAGTGGTAAACGCTCATATCCAGACACCGATTAAAAAAAGTTTGTGATAATTTTTTTAGTTCCAAACGCATAGGCTATGATGTTTTTGTAGAAATGAGAATGATCTTCCGCGGATTCCTATGAATTTCTCTAACTGTGATCTCCAAACACTTAACTCACTTTTCCGAAACAATGAATGATATCTGGGCATATTTTGAGAAAATACTGCCTTAAAATGCTCCTTCTGAACTGAAACCTATCGAATTGACGAACTGTCAATGGCCATTGGTGAACGTCGTTAAATCTTTTTGGATAAAAATATTAATATAATAAATATAATAATATAAGTATAACATAATAACATAAATGCAATAATAATAAAACAATAAAAATTATCTGTATAATATCTAGCAATTATATAGTTGCAACAAAAAGTTTATGAGAAAATTTGTTTAGACACAACCCATAATAATCTCTATGAATCAATTAGAGTTTATTTGTAACTATTAATGACATTGACCACTATTTCGTAGCTGGTGTGCTAAAGACAATTAGCACACAAGCTTAAACGCTACGACTGCGAAATGACTAAATAACGAAATTGTAACTGATTGAACATGTTGTGTAGAACATGTATCCTTATTTAAAAATAGTGAAGTCTTGAGTGATTGTTAAAAGCAAGAATTTTTTGCGCTGCAGAAAAAAAAATATTTGCACTGGTGAGTCACTTTCTTTTGTAATTTATATTCATTAAATTATTGGTGACCAAATGGCCTTCAATACCGGAAATGTTTGTATGAAATCGGGAAACTTTTGTTTTGTTAGAAAAATGAATAAGACCGTTCTATCAGTTCTTTCATAATGGTGACTAAATTTTGTTTTCAATAAGAATGGAACAAATTATGCTTTGGAGTTTGAATTTATGTCCTTGTTGAAACATATATAGGAATCCTTTGCAGTGTTAGTAGCCAAAGTAGTAAGAGAGTTTGTTCATATTTGGAGAGTGCCGCAATCTTGTTAGCACTAATACCGAAACAAATGATTTTTTGAATTTGAAATTGAAATAATTGGGAATCTTTTTTTGGTATTAGTAGATCCTAATCACTTTTTTTCATATTCGTATGTATTAAAGCAAACACTAAAATTAAAAACGAATGCGGAACTCTCTGCAGTGTTAGTGGCGAAATATAAAGGTCCGCTGGCAATTCGGAACCATGACAAGCCTTGTTTGCCCGATTTATCACTGTCACTATTTCATCCCGCCGAAAGATCCAGTGGCAAGACAAGCATTTTGTACCAAATCTTTGTAGCAGACTTGCTGACAACCATTAAAACGAGTATTTTTGCCATTCATTCAGCGAACTTGAGATTCATTCGTTAGATTATATGATGTCACTTAATACCGTATATATGGACAATAAATATCGAACGATAATCTGGTATAAGCAATTTGAAACCTACCAGAAACTGAATTATTTTACACCTGCGCGATATCACTAGTTTGAAAACGGTTGTAAAGTTGTTCGAGGTGGGCTGTGAGAACAAACTTTATTCTTTTTAAAAATGATGAAAAATAGGGTGGCAAAAAGTATGTAAACAATTTCCGGAGTGCAAGGATGAGGTGAGAGTGTATCGGGAGAGCGATCCAAAGTTATCCTGATAGCGCGTCTTGCGCATACCTTTTTATCCTGTGTTTCGGCAGGCGATCGTCGCACACAACGAAAACAGCCAGTTGTTGCTCTCGTGGTGAAATGAGCGCGTAAATGATGGCGACCCGATTTCACGCGGATTCGTAACTTTATTTTTTTTGAAGAGGCACGATCTATCGTTCGCACTTTTCTGGGGAACCTCGAATGTAGCGATGGAATGGATTACGTCAATCGATAAAAGGTAATTGCAAGCGCTGCCAAGAAAGTGTATTTATTAAAGCGACGGGTTTTCAGACATTGTTTAATGAACATTATTTCTTTTAAAAAATGTTCTCGCATCTATTCTGATATATCATAATTTGATAATTTGATTAGTTTGGTGGAAAACTGTATCTGCCTAATATAAATAAAAAATATTAACTTTCTTGTATTAATATATTAAATCACGCAGCCATGATACAGAATATAACTTGTCTCTTACATTTTATCCGACACCGCCAGGTAATCCTTTTAATAATAACTATTTATAAAATCCGAAGGGTGCGAGTGTCAACATAAATTTTGTTTGTGTGTGTTGGTACGTTATTCGTTAACTGATTATTGTTCCAAATTGATGTCGTAATAAAAACTTGCAAATTTGATATATTTATGATTTTTCTAATTCGCACTAATAAGTAATTTATATCACTTACCGCTCACCAGTCACTTGGATAAATAAATTTCTTCTACTCCCCCTCTACTTCCTACCCTAAACTATCCAATTATGCATTAATCAGGCGTGCGCAAGGTGTCACTTTAATACGTCAGCATAATTAAACCTAAACACTTTGAGCGTTTCCGGTGGCTAATATTAATTTTATTTTAATTATATATTTGAAATACTATGCTACGCTATTGCGACCTGGGATCCTAGAAATGGTCAGCATCGCGGGTATCTTTAGCAAATTCGGATATATATTGGAAAAACTGAAATTTGTTTTTTTTTATTTTTTTTTACATGTATATTTAAAATTTTTGAAAAAAAAATCTGCCGTTTGAGTTTCATCTTTTGTCGAAGTAAAAATTCTTTAGGGCGTCTCTTTTTTCTTAAACCGTTATCAACTATCATTTTTCTAATCGACGCCATATTGGACTATTACAGTTTTGAATGACCTCTTCAATTACCTCTTAATCGATGTATTACAAATTACCCTTGTAGTTCCAATGAAATAAAGTATTGTCCTTGATTCACACAAAACTTCTTTACCTTCTCCCAGACCCTCTAATTTCAGTCAATATTTGTACCTGGCTCGTAAATTCAAATTTTCAATATATCCTTAAAACACGTCTCGTTTTAATGAAACGCCTACGGGATTGTTCACTTCGACAAAAAAGGACATTATAATTAACTCCATTGCTGCCAAAGTGTATCCTCAACTGACGTACCGTTCTTGTGAAGGTATTGTTCGGATTATTTCCATATAAGTTTTGTTCGGATCGTCTACATATTGGTTAGCGTAAACAAGCAGCCATGAACCTTTTCTTCCAACGTTGTAGTATCTCAAAGCATATACTTGACATTCACTTTACGGACGATGTTTTGAAGCTGCGCTTCAAGACGTCCTTTCATTCATTTCTATTCAACGGTTATTATCCGACTGCATGCCATTGATCCTTTTTTTACTTCCCTATGAGCGAATAGCATCGTTTTTTGGCTCTAGTTTAATTAATCCAAGTAACACGATTTATTATTTTGCTAGCGGTCTTCAGTCGTATTCCGATTTATTTGTTTATGTAAATGAATAGGTCCGACTTTAAACAGTCTGTATAATTTAAAATTGTTGCTCTTTTCGACACCAATCCGATTTTTGATTCATTCGTTCGAATAAATAAAATATTTTTACATTTTGTTATAGGTGCGAGCAGGCGATTGCGGCACCAAAAGTAATCTGCTTCAAAATTGAATGAGTATTCGATACAATCAATAATAAGCATTTTTGCTCCTGGGTATCCGTATTCATAGAAATAATCACTTTCAATAACGAACACACTGAATGCTTGTCCTCGGAAACCACTTGTATAAACGTTCATTCTGTTATGTAAAATCAACTTTTTTGCCAAAATAGTGTGGAGACTGGAAGTTTTCGGTTTGAGCAAAATATCATTTGCAACAAAGTTCACAGGGAAAACGAGCTATTCCTAAAGAGTCAAGTGGAGTGATGGTCTTTTCATTTTCTCAATACTAGGATACACCGTAAACCAGGCAAAGATAATAAATTTAGAATAATCGAAACAATTGATACGAACAGGTTAGAAATCTATCACAAAATGACCATATTTCTTAGTACATTTTATATTCCCTTTTAAATTGGTACAACCACTTTATATTGTAATTAATAGATTTTGTTTTCTTTTGTTACTTATTGTACGAGGGGTAAAACGCAGGTGTAAGATGTACTCCGTGAATCATATGAATTTTTTGAGTAATGAGTGAATGTGGTAACCTATTATATGGACATTTTCATTAAACACTTATTTACATTTCGCACGCTGTCACATAATGCCAATGTTTCTTAGTACATGTCATATTCCCTTTTAAATTGGTACAAGCAATTTATGTTTTTATTAATTGAATTTATTTTTTTTTGTTAATTATTGTACGAGGGGTAAAACGGGAGTAAAAAGCGAGAGGTACTCCGTGGTCACAATTTCGCTGGAATTTTTCTGGGAATTCCTCGGAATTCCTGTGCAATGCTTAGGAATTTTTTTGGATTTCCTTATTGTATTGACTCAATTAGGGTTTTAATTTGTTTGAGGAGGGCGGAGCTAAAGGAGGGACATGAAAGTTGTCTTGGATGGCTGATTCCCATATTTGGGAAAGTTTCCTGAGTCGCGGTTAACGCGGTTACCTTTTGCCCCCCTGAAACAATATATAAGCAGGTACAGAGTGGAATGCGAGCCAGCTTCAGTTAAGGCCTGAAGAAGCCAAGAAGATGATCGGCGAAACGTCAGCAAGGTCGCTTCATCAATAACCGACGGACGAGCAATACAGAAGTTTTGTAAATAGTATTCGAGTAGCCTGTGGAAGTTTCCTTGAAAAATTAAGCAAGAAGTTGATTGGCTCGACTGATCAAATTATATTAATGTTGGATACTAACAGTTTTACTAAATCACATAAGCTCGGCCATTTGCGCAAATACATTTCGACTGGCGGTAGAACGACTGTCCACATATCAACTTAAAAATTATCGCATTAAAGGACAAAGAGAAGATAAAAAACGGTGGTGCAAATAAAAATAAACGATCCGTATTCCCCATGAAGGCGCATATCAATGATCCTTCCAAATTCACTGACAATGTGTTATCCATATTTGAATTGATTCTCTTTTAAAGCCGACTTTTTAGTCGACGGCCAGTATTGGGCTTCGACGCGATCTCTATTCTTCTCGATGCCGACATTCGTTTGACCCGGAACCATTTAGCCAAAAGGAAGCTACCGTTTTGGGTTTCATGCGAGCCAGGAAAATGCAATTTAATCGTTTAGTGCTTATTCTGCATATGACATAATTCAACGTTAACAAATTGATTAATTTAAAGGTCATAAAACGTTGGTTCAATCTTGTACGCGCAACATTTAACAGCTAACCTATTATAGCTTGGACGCAAATTGTTCAGATTATCTGTTTGAGTTATTTCATAATAAATCGCATCGCGTGACTTTTCAACCAATAAATGAGCAGAAATAAAAATATCACTGTACAGTGTAAACCAAACTGCAAAGTTTTCTCTGAGAATACAAACACAATAGCCATGTGCCTACATCATCCACAACTACCAAATAACATCAACTACTCATCTCATCTCTCCCATTTCTAAATACGCATCCGAAAATGCTTGACAGGTGATGGACATGCGATCTTCATAAAAATGTAGCCTTAAAGTCCTCCAATTTTCAAGATGCAAAGTCTCAAAATATCTTCAATTTGGGTCAATTATCGTTTTTGAAAAAAATTGATTTTCCAAACTGAAAAAAGTGCAGTTATTATATATTATTTTATATAAATTAAATATCTTCGAGTCTGCTTAGATTCTGCCCCAATAGGCAAAGGAAGCATTTTTTGAGATTTGATTTTAAAATTACGCAAAGCTTTCAGTTCGACATCTTGAATTATATCGTATTTCAATAAATATTAAAACAAACCCTTTTATGACTGTTAGCCGCAGTTGACTTCCAAACTTAGAAAAATCGCGAAATTTTGGTATTCTAATAAAATTTTGCCTTCAATTTTATGAAAAATTTGTGTTAATAAAAAGTTTTAAATTCAAAAAATATATATTTTTTTAAATCTGTCGCACCCGTTACGGGGAACTTCTCAAAAAATAAATATTAAAAACTGTTGTTCACAACAAAGGTTTCTACTGCGGCTGTTACTTTAGCACCATTCGTTTTGCTTCAAGCGAAAGTAGGCCATGAAATGAATCTTTGACACGCTACAAAACAATTGCTGAAGTAAAAACTTTGACAGATAACAACAGTTCTGTAATTAGTATGAATTTTGATTGGAAAAGTGTGCTTGAAAACTCGAACATATTTCAAAAAAGGTATATAGTGTCTTCCTAAATGACCACTTTATTTTTTATCAAATTTCTTTTCACTAGTAAAACAATGTTGCAATGACTTTTTCTACTCCCGTCTGTAAAATGCCTAATTGCAAACCGATCTAGCGTGAATGAAGTGTCACTTTACTACGTCAGTTTCGTTTCTCACGGGTACCGAGCCACTCCGGACATTTGGGAGCAATCGTATGTTTTCGGAGATTTTACCGCACGGTTTGAATTTTGACGTCTCATCAGTACAAACAAACAAAATTGAAGGTTAGGACCTGGTTAATCCTCTTAAAATGATTTCTCTTCTAATTGCATTCTTTTTTTTTAAATAAATTATTTAATGCTCAATTGTAAAAGTCAAATAATGAACATAAACTTTTTAAATTGTGTTGTTCCTTTGTTTTATATGACATATCCAATAATACATCTCTCTCTGTCTAACATACACATTTCAAAGAGACAACAATAGCAGAACCGTTAGGTTTATTGGCAACTACTATTATTATTATTATTTTCAATTTGTTAAATTGTGATTTTTTTTCGTGACAGTCGTAGAGAAAGTTTAGTATGTAACACGTTTAGTAAACTCTATCTTACACTTGTACATATTTTTCTTGCTTTTAGTTTTGATAACCTAATCCAGAATCACTGGCA